TTGGACCTGGGCGGGTGAGACCGGACACTGAGAACATCCCTGGGCTCGCACAGCAGGATGGGAAGAAAACACCTTCTTCCAGGGGCAGCATGGCCCGAACAGCCCCTCTCCCCTTGCTCATCCCTCCATGACCGCTGCTTTAGGAAGCTGCATCTTAGAGGGACAGCCAGCCCCAGGCCTCAGGCCGCTGCCCATCCCAACACCCCTACTGGTCAGTTTTGGGCTCTGAAACCTGTTTTCCCCGAGCCCCCAGATCCCAGCCCTGCCATTGACCAGCTGGGTGACTGGGAACGTTGTTTAGCCTCTCTGGCCTCAGTGCTCTCATCTGTAAAATGGGGATAACCTCACAGAGTAACCGTGGAGATGAAGAACGTGGCCATGGAACACTGAGGACAAGCCCCACTGGAGGACGTGCCTGGTAAATGTGTAACTACATTGAGTAAGGTCACCAAAGAAGGTCTGCAGGCAAGAATCTAAATCCCAGATAAAATATTTTGAGTAAAATTATGTACCAAACATTACATGGACATACTTACACCAAAAAAAAAAAAAAAGTTTACGTAAAATTCAAATATAACTAGGTGTCATTCTGCGCCCACTCCCCCCAAAATCTGGCAACTCCACACTGAGGGGGCTTCACAGACCTCGGGCCTCCTTGTTCCCATCCCTTAGGTCAGGGTTCATGGGCAAAGGCCCCTCCTTGGCTGTGTGCAGGGCTGTGGGGAGAGAGCCAGCCAGAAAGCCCCGCTTCCCGCCATATCCACCCTGTGCTTGCCTTGAGGCTAGAACAAGATCTTCCTTCTTTTTTTAAATATATCTTATTGATTTTTTACAGAGAGGAAGGGAGAGAGATAGAGAGCTAGAAACGTCGATGAGAGAGAAACATCGACCAGCTGCTTCTTGCACACCCCCTACCGGGGATGTGCCCGCAACCAAGGTACATGCCCTTGACCGGAATCGAACCTGGTACCTTTCAGTCTGCAGACCGACGCTCTACCGCTGAGCCAAACCGGTTTTGGCAAGATCTTCCTTCTTCACTTTCCTGCTGGATCATTGATTTGATTACCTAATCTTTCCAGGGGACTGGTAATCCTCACCTCCCCCCGCTACTCCAAAGGAACAAAGATACACAAACCAAATACATCAAGCACAGTTTTAAGACCTGGCATTGATCATTTCAATCCACCTCACAACAACCCTAAAGGTCCAAGTCAGAATGACCCCTGTTCTATCTGATGAGGAAACTGAGGCTTGTGGAAGGTGGGGAAGCCATGTTTCTTGCCAGGTTATCACTGTCCTCTCTTCCCCGCCCCATTCTCCCCACCCTCTGGCCTCCAGGCCTGGGCTAGGGCTGAGCCACAGGGCAGATAAGCGGACCAACCACTTGAGTCACCATCATGCTCAGGTCTTCATTCCCAAACAGAACTCCCGAACACCCTCCCTGTAGGAGCCAGGGCCTACTATCTCCTTTCCCCTCCTCTCCTATCTTAGCCCACAGATACGGGACCCCGTTTGGAACGTGAGGCCCGTGGGCTGTACCAGCTGTGTCTGGAGGACCTGCCCTCGTGCTTCTGCGCCTGAGACTGGGTCCTGAGAAGCCAGGTGTCAGCCTCTGGGCTGGGCGAGTCCTCCACTGCCGACCTGAGAAAGATCCTTGCGTGACTTGCAGACCAGACAAATGAACAGGAATTCTTGCAAGAAACCATTGTAAGACCTTTGGTGTAAATGACCCAAGCATGGAGTTTTCCAGAGGGTGTGACCTGACTGTTCCGTTCCCCAGCCTCAGCTTTCCTGAGGGCACTTCGGTTGGATCTGGCTTCTGAGGCGGAGGGGTTCCTGGACTATCATAGAGGCTAGTGTTCCAGCCGTGGCCATGGGACTGAGTCTAGCCTTCTGTTGGCTCTCATTAGGCTAACAGATCAATGCCAGTGTCTACCTAGCAACCAAGACAGTATGAGACAAAGGAGGCCACTTATGGCAAACACACACAAAACATTCAAACCCTGGCCCAATGGACTGTCCTGGCCAAGGAGGCATCTACTAGGGCAGGCTTTGAGGTCACAAATGAAACCAAGACCTTTTCCTCCTTATTCTGCATAAATCACCCCTCACCCTGGCCAGCTGGCTGTCAGTTGGAGCTTTGTCCCATACCCCAAAAGGTTGCAGGTTTGATCTCTGGTTGGGGCGTGTATGGGAGGCAACTGATAATCAATAAACATCTCTCTGGGTGAGGATTAAAAAAATAATTATTACTCTACCCAGTCTCAACACTAAGGTCTACAAAGCCTATAATAAACCCTTACTTTAAAAATGGTAGAACTGTAAAGCCTTATAAAACTAGAGGCCCAGTGCATGAAATTCATGCATAGGTAGGGTCTCTAGGCCTGGCTGGGGATTAGGACCCATCTGTTGGGTGACCGGTGGGTTGAGGGCCCCCTGCCTTGGCTGGCCTGGGGCCTGTGAGCGGGGGGCAACTCCTGTGTTGAGCGTATGCCTCCTGGGGGTCAGTGCACATCATAGCGACTGGTCGTTCCACTGGTCATTCTGCCGTTTGGTCCACTTGCATATTAGACTTTTATTATAGGACTAGAGACGCGATGCACGAGATTCGTGCACTTGGGGACAGGGGGGCTGGGCCCAGCCTGTGCCCTCTTGCAGTCCAGGAGCCCTCGGGGGATGTCTGCCTGATGGCTTAGGCCTGCTCCCCATGGGAATGAGCCTAAGCGGTGAGTCAGACATCCTTAGCACTGTCACAGAGAGGCTCCCACTACACTATTGTGCTCACCAGCTGTAAGCCCAGCTTCTGGCTGAGTGGTGCTCCCCCAGTGGGAGCACACTAACCACCAGGGGGCAGCTCCTATGTTGAGCGTCTGCCCCCTGGTGGTCAGTGCGTGTCATAGTGACCAGTAGTTCTGCTGTTTGGTCAATTTTCATATTACCCTTTTATTATGTCAGATGTCTCGCCATCCTTCAGGTTAGGTCATCCACCACCTACTGGTACTCAGTGGGGACCCAGTAAGGGAGAGGGAGATTATCTCTTTTCTGTCTCACCGAGACGTCAGCACTTCCTGCCACAATTGGACACTTCCTGACAGACTTTCTGGGCCTGAGAAGCGATGCATCCCAAAACGAAGGACTCTGAAATTTTCAATGAGCCTAAGAACTTCAGCTACTGACGCATCCCTAAGTTTTACGGACCTGCTCCAACCCACAGGTCTAGTTGCCCCCTTAAGTCCCAGCTGTGCGGTCCAAGGGGGGACTTTGGGAATGGCGCTCAGTCAAGTGTGCCACTGAGGCATTCAGGCCCGAGGCCCAGAGGCTGTGCTGTGCCCCCTGCCATGGCGTCTTTTAATCAGGTGCTCTGGCAGGTCCAGGCCACCCTCCTGCGTGAGTACTTAACAAGCCCGCCACAGGGTGCACCCAGGAAAGACTGATTCCCGTGTGCGGAGGATTCCTTCAGAAAGTACCCAGGCAGCAAGAGACACCCATGTGTCACTGAACTCCTCACGTACAAATTGGACTTTTCAATTTTTTTTTTTTTTTTTAAATCCAGCATCAAGACCACAGACAATTTATTATGTAAGACACGGGGCGAGGAACGACCAAGGGGATTTATGGCTGTGAGCGACATGGAATTGGATGAAAAGGCTCGAGTTGGCTGAAGTAAGTTTAAATTTGGCTTTTGCTCTCGATAACGTCAAAATAAGAAAGCACGTATGCCTTACAGAGAAAAGAAATCCACAAAGTGTCATTTTCATTTTGCAAACAGGGACACAACAGCAGTCAAATAATCAGCCTAAACGCCGGGAGAGCGAACATACAGGCTCGGGAAGCGGTAACAAGGGGTTTCGCATGCCAGTGGGTTTCAAACGCAAATCCAGACCGAACCCTGTGACCCACGGGGGGTTCTGAGCGGAACCCGGGGAAGCAGCTTTTCCGTACAGAACAAGGACGACGATGACGACGAGCCCAGGCTCCGCTGGATGTCTATAATACTCATTTGCAGTAAGGCTTTCAAGATACATGAATTTTTATAGCATTTGTATTTTAAGGATTTAGGGCAAATACATTTTTTTTTCTACTTGATAAAAAGAAAATTAGTACTTAAAAGGTTCAAAAATATATTGATTGAGTGATTTTTTTTTTTTTACATAAATAAATTATATTGATTTTCAGGATTTAACAGCTGAAAAAACCCTTTCTGCTTCCACTGGAGGCAAAACTGAACAAAATGTTAGTTAAATAGAGAGAGCAGCATTTCTAAGAAATCTGTTGTCAGCATCACAGACCATCTGTGCTACAAAGATGTCATTAAATAGGACCTGTTCAATCACTGGGCTCTTTCTTCTTATACGATCAGTTATAGATTTTTCTGGTTTATAGCTTTGATTCACAAAACTGGGACTCCACTTTTTGAAAATACATTTGATTCTTTCCGGTCACGATTTAACAGACTTCTTTGAGATGCTCATTTTAACATTTACATAATTTATAATCCCAAATGTATAAAAGACAATGACAAAAGCATGATAAATAAATAATGCAAACTGAAATAGTTATGTCAAACTTTTGGACCTTCTGATAAATTAGCAAAAACGGTAACAGAAAAAGTAAAAAATACAGTAAATTGTGACAACGAAAAGTGAAACTGGTACTAGTCACACTTCCAACATTTCCAATGGTCCTGCACCGCCCTGTGCCCCCCCTCCCCCCCGGGGGTTCTGAGCTATGAGCTTATTTCAAGCCTCAGAGTGTGGCCTGTCAGGAGAGGATAAGGTCACCGGAAGGTTTGGAACACGGATGGGAAGGCCAAAGGAAGCCGCTGAAGTGCTGCTCGGGCAGGAGGAAGGAAAAATAATGCTAATTTGCAACAGTCTCGACTAACGTGATGATTTGGAATCTGGGTCCAACTGTAAAATACAAAACCAAATGGAGAAAAAATGGAGAATAAAACTTTTCACAGTCGTTTTATAAAAGGTGGTACATACGTTTGGACAACCTCAGATGACTCTGACAGAAGGACCTAGGCAAGTGTGAAAGTGTTGAGTGACTGTTTCCCCGCAAGCTCCAGAAAGAGCCTGATCCTTGGTGGACGAAAGCACAAAAGAAAAACCCATCAGGCCCACGGGCGGCGAGCGCGATTCTGGAGAACGGAGGATGAGGGGAGGGAGTGGAGTGCTAGTCATGTGCTTGTGGGTGGTGTGCAGCTCCGTGGAGGGCGAGCCCCTCACCCACCCCCGTCGCCAGCAATAACTCAAGGTGGGTACAGTGTCCTCACACTGAGACTCATCCTTTAACTCGGGAGAGAGCATCTGTGTATAAAATAATGCCTAGTCAGTACTTCTTCTTGCTGCAGGTGCTGAAAAACCATAAAGGGGGAAGTTAATTTATTACCGATAAGCATTTTGTCTTATAAAGAAATGAATATATGCATTTTCAATCATTAGTTATATATTTCTGTCTATACTACTCATTTAGTAATCGTGATAAAATAGGGAAATATCTCAACTAAAAAATGTGCACCAGCACTTCCTTTACCTGTGCTTTTTGGTTCCCCAATACATTCTTTCCCATCCAGCACAGCTCACGAAAAAGGAGCTGCTCTGTCTGTCCTTCGGCCCGGTAACAGTTAAGTCCCTAGACAGCCTTCTTATGCCATTTCTCCTCCGCAGATACGCGGGAAACTTGGAAGAGAAGGGGGTAGGGCGTGTCACCAAGTACTGCATTAACTCCGACTGCTGGAATGAACGAACAACTGGGTGACAGAGGGAGAATTCTGTGCCTGACTAGGTCGACGACACTCAGCTAATCAAGTGGCAAGACCCTGCAGCTATGACATCCGTTACCATAGTTCTCAGACAGGAATTAGGTGGGTACATATCACTTATGGAAACACAGGTTCTTATGAAGGCGAAGGGAGGGAAGTAACAAACCTTTATGGGATAAGAAACTCACAAGTCACGTCAGTAAATGAAAAAGTTCTAATTGGTGTCACTGTTGGAGTCTTTGAGGCCCCCGTCTCCGGCCTGTGCCGCATGTTCTCTGTCGGAGGGCATGGGTGCCCTGGATTCGGGGCAGTTCTGGTCACTGCCCGGCTCCCTGTCCGGCCCGGGAGCAGGCTCCGGGTTGGGGTTCGGGTTGTCCCCCTTTGTTTTCTTCTTCTTCCTCTTCTGGCTCTCCAGCCCCGCTATCTCAGAGTGTCTGGCCTGCTGCATGGCTGGCAGAGCCATGCCCATGCCAGGGGAGAGAAACATGGGTGGGTAGATGAGTCCAGGAGACACTCCTGGGATGAGAAACGGGTTAAAAGCCACAGGACTACTCGTCGTTAGTGCAGGTTCGGGCTGATCGGAATATGGGCTAGGACCGGGCTTGTCTTCCGCAGACGCGTCCGTTTTTCCGTCACGGCTGCTCGGCTTGTCTTCGGCAGTCTGTTCGGTCGCCGAGGCGCCGCTTTTCGTTGTGCTTGACAGAGGCGCGGGCGCAGTCGAAGTGCAGGCAGTCGCCATAGGGGCGCTGAGGAGGCCCCCGACACCGAACATCTGGGGCACGGCGGCCATCCCCGGCAGCATCATGGGCAGCATGCTCAGGGTGCTCTTGACCTCCTCACCTGTGGGCATGGCGGCGAAGCCGGCCGGGAACCCCACCAGCCCCGTGAGGGGGATGCCCGGCATATTCCTCATGTTCTGAAGTCCCACCAGGTCCATCCCAGCAATCAGTCCGTTCATGAAAAGTGGCCCCATTCTGGAGGGGGAGTCCGCCCCGAGGGCAGGGGTCTTCAGCAGCTCACTCCGAGGCCGCCGCCCCCTCCGGCGAGGGCCCGCGTCACGAAGCACAGGCTCGGTCAGGGTGTGATTAAATTTGTTTTCTGGGAGGAACCCCTGGAAAGGGACAAAGAAACACAAGATGCGAAGGTTACTGGATGACGTGTGATCATCTGACCCAGCTTGCGAAGGATCCCTGATGGCACTGCCTCCCTCTGAGGCCGACACACAGCCTGTCACCACCAAGCAGTGCCATCAACATGCTCACTGCGCGAAAGCAGTGTCCACCCTATGGAGAAGCTGACAGTGCTGGGAGCGAGAGACCAGTAGTAGACGCCCAGGTCTTAGTTAAGACTCTTTAAACAATTCTATTGAAGTATAACTGGCATAACCTATTAGTGTTGGTTGTACAATGTAAAAACCATATGGCATACTGCAGGAATTTGCGTGTTTTTTTTTTTTTAAATAGGTTTTTATTGGTTCCTGAGAGAGATAAAGGGAGAGGGAGAGAGAGAAAAACAACGATATGAGAAACATGGATCAGCTGCCTCCTGCACACCCCATACGGGGGATGTAGCCCGCAACCCGGACATGTGCACCAACTGGGAATCGAACCTGCCACCTTTTGGTGCACTGGACTGTGCGTCATTCTTGTATAGGGTCCATGCTAATCTCCTCGGAATCGTCCCAAGTGTAGTATGTGTACTACCAATGTGTACAGTCAAGACTCTTGTGGTTGCGACTCCTTGACAAGATCCCAATATTCGTCTTCCTCATGACTCAGGAAGATTTTTTCTTTAAAAAATTTTTAAAAAATAATGTTTTACAGATTTCAGAGAGGAAAGGAGAGGGAGATGGAGATAGAAACATCAGTATCCCTGACCAGTTTGGCTCAGTGGATAGAGCATTGGCCTGTGGACTAAAAGGTCCCAATTTTGATTCTGATCAAGGGTATGTGCCTTGGTTGTGGGCACATACCCAGCAGGAGGTGTGCAGGAGGCAGCTGGTCGGATGTTTCTCTCTCATCAATGTTCCTAACTCTCTATACTTCTTCCTTCCTCTCTGTAAAAAAAAAAAAAAAAAAAAAAAAAAAAAAAATCAATAAAATATATTAAAAAACAAACAAACATTAGTGATGAAAGAGAATCATCGATCAGCTGCCTCCTGCCTGCTCCCTATTGGGGCTCAAGCCTGCACCCAGGCATGTGCCCTGAATGGAAACTGAACAATAACCTCCTGTTTCATAGGTTGATTCTCAACCACTGAGCCACACAGGCTGGGCACAGGAAGGTTTTTCAGTCAGCCGCAGAGCAGAGTAGGCACCTGAAAGTGAAGTGTTTAATACATTACCCGGCCCACAGGAAGAAGTACTGCTAAAGGGACACTTGGCTGTGTGTGCCCCACTCCCCTCTGGATTGTGAGCTCCTGGAGGGCAATGATTCTCAGACACCTATGTATCTTCCCAGGAAATGAAAGCATTCTTGGCTATTACTGGGGAAATGCATCAAAAAGCAGCAGTACTCTGGTTTCCCTTTAAGGAGACGATCTTCTTTCCTCTCCAGTGTTCTTACTTAGTGGAGAGCTCCAGAACTCAGCACTCTTCTCCACGTGGACTGTACTATGACTGTGCCTGGGACTTACAGCTATGCCTGCACACAGGTCACTGGCACCACACATCTGGATGACCAAGCTACAGAGAATCAGAGAGGAGGACCTGCTATCTAATGTATCAGTGAGCGGCAGGCAGATGGCAGGGAGAAAGCACCCACCTACAGTGGGTTTGCTGCAGCCACATGCGCTCCTTCCTGTGACTGTGGCTCAGGAGCTCTGGGGGGAAATGATGCAGCCAGAACCTGCTGAGAACCTGCTCCCCCAGCGCAGCAGCTACAGAGAATTAAACCAACCACTGCCATTACAATGCAACCGACTCTGAATGTGTTTCAAAAAATGGCCAGAATGACCCCATGCGCAGGGAGAAAGGTTTTCCTCACGGAAAGGGCGCCGTTTCTTCCGGGACTCGTCTGAAATGCCTACACCCCTCTGGGTGATGCCCATGCCCCGTGCTCTTCACAACGATCATTAGGCTCTTCAAGGTGACGCGTGTGCACAGTATTAAGGCCTCAGTCCTCTTTGCTCAGGAGCATAAGGAACAGGCCTTCTCCTGTGGGTTCCTAGGGAGTCATCCATCATCCCTTTCTGAGCCACGGTGAGAGGAAGCAACTGTAACTACTCTGGTGTCTCCTCTTTGATGTTCTTGTCACAAAGTGGGTGTTCTTTTACAACCTTCTCTCTTAAAAAAAAAAGTACTGATTTCAGAGAGGGAGAGGGAGAGGGAAAGAAACATCATTGATAAGAGAGAATCATTGATCTGCTGCCTCATGCACATCCCCTACTGGGGATCGAGCCCACAACCCAGGCATGTACTCTGACTGGGAATGGAACCATGACTTCCTGGTTCATAGGTCAATGCTCAACCACTGAGCCATATCAGCTGGCTACAACCTTCCCTTTGATCACAGCAATGGTAAGGCTAAAAAATGTTCAGAGTGGCCTTGTGGGATCTGTGACCCTGGATTCGCCCTGGGACGCAGGCCACAGTCAGGGCTGGAGTGTGGACATGTGATAGGGTTAAGAAGCTCCTGAACTGGGCAGGAGGCAGGAGGGCTCAACAGTGAGGCTTCTCTGCTGGCTTTCTATGATGCTGGGCTGCCTTTCCAGGATTCTCAGGCGCCTGTGTGAACGCCTTCCGTTCCTGCAAGCTCACTGAGGCTCAGAGGCAGGGACCCAGTTGCTCTCCTCAGTGGAGCACTCAGAGCAAGAAAGGAGGGGCAGGTTTCACCAAGAGATAGCAGATGGACCAGAAAACACTGTTAGGCCTGGTGAGTGTGGAGAAAGAAGTCAGAGCAGCTAAGAACATTGAAGGGCTGAGACCGGTGATCAGAGCAGTTAGGAAATCTCTTTACAAACTTCCCAAGGACACCTACTTTGAACTTTAATTGAGTTGCTCTTGCATTCCCATTTGGTTCACTGCCTCTCCTCTCTCTTAACTATCAAGCCAAATCCTTAGAAAACCCTACAGACCTTTGCTTAAGGGGCTGCTGTAGAGACAGGGTGTGCTAGTGACACCAAGTCAGGTTCTCCACGAGCTGTGAGTACACCCGTGTATGAGAAGAAACCGAGATGCAAGGGAGACTGGCTGCCAGGGTGCGGGGCGGCTGTGGGGGGTGGGGTAAGAGGAGCAGCAGCAGGAGTGCTGATGGCAGGTTAAATGAGCACTTACCCACGTCAGGTACCGTGCTGAGGGCTCCATCTGCACTATTGCAATTAATCAGCACACCGACCCCACGGAGTTAGTGCCGTTATCTGAGCCATTTTACAGGGCGTTTACGAATTCACAGACGCGTGAGAAAACGTGCACTTGAATGTTTCCAACTCCCCCCAAATAATGCTAATTTTGAAGTCCTACATCTGTTTCCCAACGAATATGAAAGAACACCCAGGTCACCATAAGCCAGACAAAGAGCATTAGGATGGTCATTTCTCAAAAGCTTTGGTTTAGGAGAGCAGAAACCTCTAATACTGTCGTGCGCGGTCCCCCTTCTTCCGTACAAAGTGAGGGGCGGGGACGTGCCGCTGGGGCAGTCGGTCAGGTCCGGCGGCCCCGAACCACCTTGTCTCACTCCGGGTCTGGGGGTGCTGGTGGAACAATGCCTCAACTGAGGTAGCAGGACTTGGTGGATTGGGGTCAGGCTACAAGCGCCATTTCTCGCGAGTGTGTCTTAAGCCCATTTAGGAAAACTGCCTCCTTCTGGACTCCACCGCAGTCTCAGGCCCCTGCTGGGCACAGTACCTCAGCCCGAGCCCTGGCAGGGTAACCACAGCTCAACCACAAGGCTTTCCTGCAGCCCACCCACAGAAGAGCCAGAGAAAAGTGCTGGTGGGTCTCTCTCCTTCCCCCTCCGCGCTCTCCTATGACTCTCCTGGGGAAGTCTTTCTGTGGGAAGCCAGCAAACCCAGAGCTCGGGGAATAGCGCCCTCCATCCATTTTCAAACCATCTGCTATAAGCCGCACACTTGACTTTGAGCTCATTGGGGCACTCAGGACCGGCCAGGGCACTTAGGACAGCTGCATCCTGCGGGACCAGCGGCTCTCTGGCCCTGCCCACCGAGCTCACGTCGGACGCCTCAGGCACCAGGATGTCTGAAAATACCCCTTCCCAACCTTGTTCGGAACCACTGATGCCAAGAGAACGCTGGCCCTTTCTGAACTGGGAAGGTGCCAAGGTGGCCAGGCTGGCCCCTCTCTCAGCCTGAGAGCAGCTGCAGTGAGGCCCAGGCCTGAGAGAACAATTCTCACCTACAGCACAGCCAGGGGCGCTGGCAGAGGAAGCGGCTCTCACCACTTCCTGTGGGAGGGAGAGGGCTTCAGTCACCCAGCTGCTGCCCACCCTCATCAGATGCCCCTCCCAGCAGCTCGGACCACACACAGCAGCGAGCGAGGGGGGGGGGGCGCTTTGGCAGCGCTCCCTCCTGCTAATTACACCCTGGGAGCAGACCTGCTTCCCTTCCAGGGAGGCCTGGGGAGAGGGCAAGGAGAACGAGGAGGAGGCAGCCATGAGGCGGCAGCGGGCAGAGCTGCCTCTGCAGATGATTACAGGGCCTCCCGCCCGAGAAGCACGTCTGTCTCAGCAGCGCCTGGGGGCACTCACTCCCAAGCCTGCAGCCCCACCGCTAACACTCCCTCCTGGGCAGACGAGGTGGGAGCGAGGACCGCCCTGCTCCTCCAGGAAGGTGAGCAGGTCCAGCCCGCAAACAGCCAGCCGGTGGCAAGAGACCTAACAACTAGACGCAGCCTGTGGATCACAGTTTAACAAATCCTACCAACAAGACAGAATAAAACAAAAGCTAGCTCTAAAGACATTCTGGAACAGCTGAAAAGATCTAAAAATGAACTAGATATTAATATTCACATGCGCAATAATGGAAATAGTTACACAGGGAAATGCTATTAGGAGATGCATGCTGAAGTGTTTAGGGGTGACGTGTCATGTCAAATGACCCAGTGAGAAACAAACAGCAAAGCTATACACACATGTGTGCATATAATGTGAAACAAATGTAACTTTTACACACATGAAATATATGAAGTATGTACGTGTACACACATACATTTAATGAGCAACCACCGTGTACTGGGCCTTCCGACACTGAATCCCCCGCCTTACCGTGCACCAGTGAGCCACAGCCCACCGAGCAGCGAGAAGCCCTGTGGGAGGGGAGCCTGTCCTGGAAGGGTGGGATCTCCTCTGGAGAGAGGAGGGCAGTGCACCAGAGGGCCCCCGCCCCAGGAGGAGCGGGGGGGACAGGGCTGAGAATGGGCCTCCTGGAGCCTAGCAGAGTGTCGCCATCAGAGCCGGCTGGCTCTGCCCGTGGGGAGGCCTTGGAGCCCGGAGCACCAGGTGGAAAAGTGCTTCCTGTTCTTGCTGAGCTGCGGGAGAGGGCCTCCGAGGCAGGGACTGTGTTTATTTAACAAAGCAGGGAAAGTGCATCTCTGGTGAGAGGCTGACTTGCAAGAACAGCTTAGAAATGGGTTTTCTGGCAAGGGGTCAGTGTCTGTAGGGAGCGATGAACATTAATTTCCAGAGAACATGAGGGAAATTGTCAGGACATGGAGAAAGACATGAGAGGGCCAAGGGGAAACCACATGGTTTTTCTGACGAATCTCTAAACCAAGAGCTCTGAGTTACAACAAAGCAAGAACTGTGAGGTCTCCACGGGACCACACTGCTGAGTGCAGAGAGCAGGAGGCAGCATGAGGGCTGGAGAGAGACAGATGGGATAAGAACTGAAGCTGAATCAGCTCGCCCAGCACAAGCCGGTCTAAGGGGGCAGGAGGGACACTTTCTGAGGAGAGAACAAGAGAGTTGGAAAAAGGGCCTCTTTTCAACACGACAACCTTTCTAAGAGGCAGGCCAGAGGGACGGGCCAGGCCTCCCTCCCAGTGGCTGCAATGGAGAGAGATGAGAGAGCAGTTGTGTTTGTCGAGTTGCAGGAGAGAAGGGGAATCACCCAGGTGACCACCAGTAATAAGCTTGGAGAACATTCGGTAACAGCTTCTTTCCGCACGGAGGAGGAAATGACTAGGGTGGGTGGTCTTTTGGAGCTAAAACAATAAATCACCTCCAGCAATCCCACGAAGGGAATTTGGATCCCAGCACGGCTGCACTGGCTGAGCTCTGAGAGGCACTCGGGAAGGCTGCGGGCGTGGGGACTCCCAGGAAGAGCAGGCCCCCGGGAGGGTCGTCAGAGGCTCCCCAATTGGGCAGAGCACCCTTTTAGGGGGTTAATAACACATTTAGAAATGATTTTCCCAAGCGCAATGCCTTTTCAGGTTAAAACGATATTGCCGCCCTCTAGAGGTTATGCATTTTCTATTCCAAATCTGTTCTCATCTGTAAGCGATAATTAACTCATATTTGTTACACTAGAAGTATTTTGCAGATGTCTTTGAAGTCTCTTCCAGGCTCATGATTCTGTAATAGGAAAAGGGCCGAGCTTGGAGTCAGCTGTTTCTCATTGTCAGTGAGGACGGACTGGGAGGAAATGTCTTAAATGGTAGCCAGAGAAGCAAAGCTTAGAAAACGAAAATGTCCAATAATGAAGTTTGTTAAACACTGGAAACAGACTGCTGATGAGTTAAGGCATGTTTTCCCTGAACTCTACAAATAGGGGGGAAATATCAAGCTTTGGTAAGGGGTTAAATACATAAGTAAATTAAACTTTTTGCAGGTAAAGGTTGAGCCAAATGACCACAGAGCCTACAGGGGCTGCCCTTGTCCCCTAGGAACCGCCTGGGAAACCTGCTTCCCTGTGGAGCTCACTCTCCGAGCCTGCAAGGCTGGGCTCTGCAGGGACAGCCCCTCTTCCTTACCCTTAGTCCCGGCTCCTTGGGGGCAGCGGACACCCTCTCTTCCCCAATCAGAGAGTTGACGTCTAATTTCCCAGGTTCCTTACAGCGTGGCCTCCTCTGCTTTGGTTTGTCTGAAAAAGCCTAGGAGACAAATGGAAATCAACATTACAAAACATTCTGTCACAGAGACTGAGGAGAGTGGGGCATGCCGACTGGGTTTGCTCTTTTCTCATTAATGGCCATCTGCAAAGGACCCAGCCAGATCATGTTGAAGGAAAAAGCACCTGGCCCTTGCCTAGGCTCTCTTCTTGAATCAGCAGCAAGTTGGAAAACAGGCTGGGGAGGGGGGGCTCCTGAATCCCCAGAATAGAACACCTGGGCACTGCCTGATCCCGAACCCTTTCCTTGTCAGCACTTTCTCAGATTCTCTCCTCTGCTACCTACCCAGTAGCTCGCCTGTCCTTGAGGGTGTGCATCTGTGAACGTATTCCCTTTCTCTTCCTGTGAGCTCTCCACCTCCATTTCTTATTAGCCAGATGCACCCAAAACACAGATGGTGGTGGGTAGATGAGCAAATAAGGAAAGAAAAACCAGGAAAAGACATCTGTGCTCGGTAGCCCTCTCCTACAGATTTCTAATCTGAGAGATTTAGGGCTAAGGCAGTAAGAGGACTTGAGGAAAAGTCCCAAAGCAAGAACTATGTAACTAAGAACAGACACACTCCCATAAAATGATCATGTACTAACTTGAAAGGAACACATGGGAACATTTCCATGAAGTGGCAGTGTTTATGCAACCTAACAATTTCTCTGCGAGCTTCAGATATTGTGTGGTGATTCCTGGGGGAAGGGGCTGAGCTTGGGCTAGTCGCCTTCCTATTTTGCATGTCTACGTGGCATAGTGTTCTGACATGGGTTATAACTTTTTTCTTGATTTTAAAATGATGTCCTTAGTGGACAGAGATTTCTCCCAAACTTCCTGGTCTCCCTCAGCATACTCCTTATCAAAACAGCACCAAGCAGGCAGGAAGTAAGACAGCGATCCCAGGGAGCACCAAAAGCACTTACTGTTCCAAAGCTGGGGACGTCTAAGGAGTAGTCAGCCTGCTGCCTCAGCCAGTCGAGCAGACTTTTGCTGGGAATGGTCTTCTCAGCCTGGCTGCCGGCTGCTGGGGCCAGTTCCGGGGCCGAAGGGGCGGGCACTGGCCCTTCGGGGAGTGAGGTGCTCAGAGAGGCCTGCCCTGAGTCTTCATGGACTTCCTGAATGAAGGGAAAGTAAGCATGTGTAGTCAGTCATGCCAGAATGAAAACCAGTTTCTAGAAGGAAAATGTGTAAGGTGTTCTTCGAGTCTTTCGGTCTATTTCCACTTGGACATTACTCTGCTGGGCGCTTGAGTAAGAACCATACACATTACTTACCCACACAGCTGCCACTGCCTGCGAGGGCCGTTCCCTCCCCCTGAATCCGCCTCTCCCTGTCTTGTCTACTTGGTAAACGTTAAGTCCATCCTATCTGCTCAGGTTCAGGGTCACCTCCCGTGTCACCATCACTGGCAGTCCCCACGGGCAGGGCCAGGCAACACTGGCCACTCCTGTCCTGTTCCCCACACACCCTTCGCAGGTTTCCCACGCTTCACTGCAATCTGCTTGCCTATTTCTCCCTTTATAGTTCCAATACCCCTTTTACTCATCTCTGTATTCCCAATGCCTATATTTGGGTCTGCTGATAAAGTACAAGGTCAATGCTAAATAAATGTTTGCTTCATACATTTAAAGAATGCTCTCAAGGGGAAAATTTCATCAGTCATTCCCTTGGAATCTCACCATCATTACAGAAAACTATGGCTTTGCACCTCTGAAAAATTAGGCAACCACCCCAAAAGCTTGTAGGGTTGGGCAGGGAAAGAACCTGCCACTTCAGCTTCCTAAATTATACAAAGTCTAAGAGGAAGACACATCTCAAACAATTTACCTTAGCAATAAGCTACTTGGCGAATAGAGAAAGAAGTCATTGGCTTGGTCCCCTGATCTGCCACTTACTAGCTGGACAATCTTAGGCTAATTATTTCATGCTTGTGAGCTTCAGTTTTCTCATCTATAAAATGGGAATAACACCACCACCTCCACAGGGTTGTTGTAAGGATCACACAGGACAATCATGTAAAACCCTGAACACAGTGCCTGGCACACAGGAAGTACTCAACAAATACTGGCTATTATCAATCCTTTAAAATAAGAAGACATGCTTGGCTGAGGTGCTCAGTTGGTTAAAGCGTCCTCCTGATACATCAAGGTTACAGGTTTGCTCCCAGGTCGGGCATATACAATAAGCAACCAATGAATGCATAAGTGGAATAACAAATCAACGTTTCTCTCTCCAGCCCCCTTCCTCTCTCTCTCTCAAATCAAGGAAGGACGAAGGGAGGGAGGGAGAAAATAAGAAAACCTGAAATGTGATCCCTGTTTTGGAGCTCAAAAATCCATAAATGGGAAAAACCAAAATATAAAGAGAAGTCAGTTGTCTTTGACACAGTAAACAAAGTCTAAGGGGTCTCTCTCTCTCAGCTGCTGAACCTTTCCCGTTGTTTACAATGACCTCCTGTGAGTTTAGAACGTCTTAGTGTGATCTCAGTGACTCCTCACAGTGGCCCTCTGGGGGAGATCTGCGGCCCCACTTTACAGGGGAGCAGAGTGAGGTGGTGATGTGCCTCATGCTGACCAGAAAGTGAGGCAGGAGAGCCATGACCAACCTGCAGAAGCCCTACTCCTGATCCTTCCTCCAACCCCCGCTCCTGGAAAGCCACTAACCTGGAGCTACCGGCCACAGACTCTACCTGCTGGCTCCCTTTGCTCACTCATCGCCAGGGGCTCTTCCGAGACACCCGAGGCTTTGGGTTGTTTCTATCTGAAATGGCAAGACCTCCTGGCTTATTTTCCCAGGATGCCTGCAGATGAAAGGCTCTTGGTGGATTAATACCATCTATTTCTAGGAAAAACTGAGGGTAACTTACTATGAAGACATAATGAAAATAAGCAGGACAACTGAAAAAGGGAGAAAAGAGCCACAAACCAAAAAGCTTTGTGTCTGAGAAGAAGGGCTTATTGCTCTGTGTAGAAAGGCCAACGCTTCTATCGAAGGCCTCGTATACCCACCAGGATTCCTGCCTGAAGTGTCTGCTCCTTCAGAAAGATGAGGTCCATCCCTCCTTCCGCATGTTTCCGCCGCCCTCTCCGCCTCCTCGCCGCAGCGTCGTCTCTTCGGAGGCTCCCATTGACGATCTGCCCGGTCACCGGGTGGATCAGGCCAGCTTGCAGAATCCCAGACAAGTCCATGCCAAGGGCTCCTTGAAGCGAACTGATAGCCCCGATCTTAGGGGTGCTGGCACTCACTGGGAAAGGGGACGTGGCTCCGGGGGACCCCTCAGACGTGCAGGAGAGGTCTATTGCTGACTCCCCGTGCCAGCCATTGAGGACGAGGGGGGGGTGCCCGTGGGCGGCAGAGAACTGCTCCAGGCTCCGCGCCTTTGCGTCCCGCTCCACCTCAAATTCGAAAGGATGTCTGTGCTTCTGGTCATCCTTTGCGAACACTGGAGCCAAGAAGCTGTCCTGTGAACACACACAGGGCTGAATGCTAGCTGTTTCCTCAGGCCCGATTATGATTTCTAATCATCTTCTAGCTCAAGCCTTCTCAAACTTTAGTACCAAATCACATGTTCAGCGTGTTAAATTGCAGATTCTACCTCAGTGGGCCTAAGAGTCTGTATTTCTAACAGGTTGCCATATGCTCGAACGCTGTTTGTCTATGACCTACACTTGGAGTTGCAAGATTTTAATTTAGGGAATCTCAACTTCAGTTGTACATCAGGATCAACTGGGAAGTTTAAAAGAAATTCCAATACTCAGTCCACACACACCAATTAAATCATAACCAGCAGCTCTTCAAGGTTCCCAGTGGATTCCAATGTGCAGGCAAGAGTGAGGGACAGTGTACTCATTAGTGTACCTACAATTAACCTTGAGTTTTAAGTTTGAAGTTATAAAAATAAAATAAAACTCATTCCTGCTTTGATTTTCCTAATTTCTATCAGCTGCCACTCTTCCTCAGTGCTCCCTGTGTTGAACACACTAATCCATTCATGCCCCCTTCCTCCTATGCCTGCCAACTTCCTCGCCTTTCTTTGTAGTAACTCTGCCACTGACCTAGTCTAGAACCTCACCTCTTCTGCAGCTCCTCTGTGCCTCCAGCTGTCCCTCTTTCCTGTGAGCCTGCACACAACTCCAGCTGACCTGCAAAACCCTGCCTTCATCACGCGTTTCCCTGCTCTAAAACTTGTAACGGCTCTTCGCTGCCTACAGGATAAAAACCCAAATTCTTTAATTAACACTAATGGTTGTACCAAACCCCCCACAAAAAACCCTGTCCGTTCAGGAAATGGGTTGAATGGATGACTCAGCCAAGTGCAAAGTGTCCCCCACTCTCTGTTTCACGGTCAACACCATTCTCGCGGCCTCACCTTCTGGATGTGGGCCGCCAGCGCCGCGCCGTTGCTGAAGCTGTGCTCCGATGCTTCCGGCTCCGAGAGGCTGCTCCGAGAGCCGGCGGTGCTGGGGAGCACAGGGGCGGAAAGCGTGCCCGAGGGCTCGTACGGCTGGCTGGAGGGCCACTTCCCATTCAGCACTACGTGGCAGATGTTATCTAGGCGGTTGATTATTACTCGATCCTGTAAAAAAAAATTTAAAAGAAGACAAAATCTCTGAGGAATAAGTACCAAGTTACCCAAGTTTGAAAAGTCCCCTGAGATCAAGTTTTCTAACCAGAATGACCTGATTAAAAAGGAGCGCACACTTATAATCCTTAAAGTTCATAGTCTGGACAATAAAGATCGAAGCCACAGTTGCTGTAAATATGAAGACAGCATTTTTGTCTTAAGGTCTAATTAGTCAAGTGCATATACCTTCGATGTTCAAATGTTACAAGGCCAATACCTTTTACAGATATTAACCATTTCTCTGAATCTGTTACTCAGAAATACTCTGGAAGGTAAATATAAAGAACTCAGAGCGGAGCATGGCCGGAAGGAGAGGGAGGGCGCGGGGAGAGACCTTCGGCCACTCGGAGAAGGAGTACAGGGTTTTCTCCTGCAGCAGCTGCGCGATGGTGGGGGCCCGCGCTTCCTGCAGGTCGTCTCCGATGTCGCCCGTGAAGCCCGACGTGGAGCTCTTGCTCTCCTCCTCGGAGTACTTCCCCGGGTAATCTGGGAAGAAAGTTAAACGATCAGATACGTGGGAGACAGAGAAATCTGAAAGATCAGGATATCTGATCTCTTTAAACTAGCCTATTCTGCGCCATTTTAAATGGGATATTAATCTCCATACCTAGAAGTATCTCCGGAAGAACCACACAGGTCAGACTAAAGGCAGATGCCGCTCTAGGGCCACCCATACAAGGCAGGAGGAGAGCTGCATCCATACCTCCACAAAAACAAGGAGACAGAAGAAAAAGAATGTTCTCCTGTGTACCCGAGAGTGAGATGAGCGAATGACAAGCGAGGCTTTCATTTGGGGAAGTGGATAAGAGGAAATCAAACAATATAATCCATAGTTGCATTTGAAGGGACAGTCTATGAAATGCAACACAGTAAGAAGTTGATGTTCTGTTTTGTTAATCCTCACCTGAGGATATTTTTTTCCCATTGATTTTTTTTAGAGAAAATGTAAGAGAGGAGAAAGAGAGAGGGAGAGAGGAAGAGAGAAGGAGAGAGGGAGGTAGGGGGGGAGGGAGAGAGAAAGAGAGAGAAACATCGATTGGTTGCCTCCCACATGTGCCCCAACAGGGCCAGGGACATGCCTGCAACTGAGGTACATATCCTTGACAGGAATCAAACCCGGGACCCTTCAGTTTGTGGGGCCAACACTCTCTCCACTGAGTCAAATTGGCTAGGGCAAGAGGCTGTTAATGAAAAGGATGAAAAATCATAAAACCTACTACAAAGGTAAAACACACGGTTCGTGTAAAAAATGATGCATAGGAACCTAGAACATTTAAATTATTTCACTGATACAAAGAAATGGAAATGCAGCTTATTCTTTCAAGCTTCAATGGATCTTTAAAGATCCACTTACCAGGAAGGACAGGGAGAGAATTAGAGGGGGTCAAAATGCCTCAGGCAGGAGAAGTTATGAACCTCTCTTCCTGGTGAAATGATAAGGAATGTGTATCCTCTGATAGGTACAGATTTCACTTTTTTTAAAATTTATTTTTCAATTACAGTTTACACTCAATTATATTTTATACTAATTTCAGATGTACAATGTGGTCAGACAATCACATACTATACAGAATGGTCCCCCCAATATTTCAAGTGCCCACGTGGCACCATAGAGTTCACTTTTGACTGTACTAGTCTCTTGGGGAGCTGGAGAGACCCTTACCATGAGCAGTGCCTTGCTAGGCCAGGGGATTCAAGGATATACAAGAGAGACGTGGCCTTGGCCTGCAAGGATCGTATAGTTTCATGGGGAAAGAAAGGAAAACAGCAAATAAAACAACCACCACAGCAATGATAAGCAAATAACTCCAATTATGAGCCATGGGGAGTGCTAGAAAGGGAGAGAAACAGGGGGCATGCTGGCAGGGGAAGGCTGGGGAGAGGGCATCTCACAGGCGAGAACTCTCAAGAAGATGAGGCAAAGGGGAGGGTGCTCTGGGCATGCGGAGGAACTGAGAGACACGCAGGGAAAGGCACAGGATGAGGCTGGAGGGGCAGAGTCTTCCAGGTCACGCTGAGTTCCGTAGGCCAGGAAAGTAAATGCTATTTTTACTCTAGATCCTGTGGGGAGCACCAACGAAAGGTGTTAAGCAGAGGAAATGGATTTAAGTTTTCAGAAAAAGCAAAATGATGTGTGAGAGAAAATCCTGGAGAAGGAGCCAGAAGATCCGGGAACTGGCCCAATAGCCATGCCAAAGGCTGCTCCTTCAGCGGTAGAATTCCAGTCTCAGAAACAGGCTAACCCTCCCTGCCCCATCTACTCCACATCACACACTTCTGAGGGCCCCTTCCGAGGGCTGCGGAAGCAGTTTTAAAAGCATCGTGCAAAGAACTTTCATCCATGAATATGCGTAAGCTCATCAAGTTCACTGCCCCTTCCATCACAGCAAGGCTGCCACTCTCTTACACACACACACACACACACACACACACACACACACACACACACCCCGCCGCTGGCTTATACAGCAGCTCAGCAAGGCGGCCACTGCCACCAAAGGACATCAGTCAGTGCACGCAGCTCTCCTCTAAACCATACTCGTCTTTACCCTGCACTTGTCTGACTGCCTGGGTTTCAAAAATCTAAGTCGGTTGTATAAATCACACTGTCCTTCGTGGCTGGGTGAGGAGGGTTGGCAGGTCACAGATTGGCTCCTCTGAGTCATCTGGGGCCACAAGCCACTTTCAGCTCAGCTCCTCCGTCCTTATCCTAGCTATTGTGGCGATTTTAATTTGTGTTCAGAAGACTTCCCAAGATAATCACATCACAGTAACTAAAACTAAAGACTGGGAAATCCCTGCAAGGCATGAAAAATCTCAGGGGCATCTAGATTCTTAATATTTTAGAATTCCTTCTAATTTGAACTCTCATCTAAGAGTCCTTATTTAAAAAAAGATCAAGTATGTCTGCATATTTGCTGAGTTACTTATAATTTTAGTTTAATTTCTGTTGAGTTACTAAAAGGACTCTGCTGAGTTATAATGCCCCAACATTAGGTCTCAGGGTTTTAACCATGAATGAATGAACAGTACTATTGTTCTTCACCTAAATAAAGATCGCATTTATTTGTATTTTTTGTGCCTTAAAAAATTCCATCTATATTAAGCTGCAGATTCCTGAGGTTCCCCGGCTGTTCTGTTCTTAGTTTGAAATGCCCTATCTAGTGGAATAGCCAGTTATTCTCCTGGATGCCTCCTCCAGCATCTACCAGATAGAAAGCACACAGGCTATGCTCCCATCACATGGCTGATGCAGTCAAGGTGCTATGACCATCTACACCCCTCCTTGCTTTTCTGGAATGACCAGAGTTAAGCTCCCGTCTCATTTTCAGACCAAGGCCCGGGACCCTCAGTTTTAAACACATGGTGAGTGCCGGTAGACCTGTTTCAGAAGCCGTAAAACTTTCAGCTCGCCCCACTCCCTCCCCCGCCATGTCATGTGAGAACTGGCTCATGCGAAATACCACAAGATCCCCGCACTGTACCTCGGCCATGGCAGTTGCCGTCTCCGTCATAGTCATCTTTACTCTCGAAATCCATGTCTTCTGCCTTGAGCTCACTTCCTTCCAGAGGATACGCAGGGAACCCTTTCTTCCCTTCCGCACTTTCTTTCCAAGGCTCTTTTACAAGCTCGTGCTTCGCTTTAAATGGCTCCAGCGGAGTGGCCGTGAGCTCACCCTCCATGGTGATGTTATTAGTTTTGCTTTTGTACAAGTCTGGGCTAGGACCCACGGGCTTCTCCACTTCAAAGCCATCACTGTCCAGGCCGCGTGCCCACCTCCCCAGGTGCTTGCAGTGGCACTGGCAGGCCGCTTGGGGAAAAGGCCCCTGCGGCCCGGCGCCCTGGCTCCCGGCGCCCAGGGGGCCCTTCTGGGCGTCCTCTGCAGGGAAGCCTCGGGCGTTCTCCCCTGGAGGGCCAGCGGTGGGCTCGCTCAGAGGCAGGACCTCTGGCCTCCCCCTCCCGCCTGCTGCCACATCCAAGCTGTCCTCCTCGTTTTCCTCCTCTTCCTCCTCCTCCTCCTCCTCGCTGTGGTTCTGACTCAGTATCAAATCAGTTTCTAAACTCTTGTTTTCTAGTAGATCGATTAGTTGCTGCTCCGAGGATAGGGTTCTTTTGGAGTCGCAGACACTAAGGTTACACATATCGACAAACCCGCTTTCATTTCCTTGATCCAAGGAAGGGGAAGCCGAGAACTTGGCTTCCAGCTGCCCAACACTTTCAGGCCTCTGCTTGGCCTCACTGCAGCACAGCTCCTCGTCTCTTGCATGAGACAACAAATGTTTTCCATTTTTAATGTTCATCTGAGCCACTCCTGCTTCCAAACTCTCCATAAGCGAGGGGCCTGCAGCCACTTCTGCCTTGTGGCCACCGGGCCGGCAGTTGGCGCCTCTGCTTGCCGAGATGCCAAGAGCATCTGCTCTGGGTTCTGCGCTGTGTGGGCTCTCCTGAAGAGAGGCCGGCCCTCGGCCGAGCCCCTTCTTACCGTACATCATGCTCTCCAAGGGCTCGGGCAGCAGACTGTCCTCGTGGGTGAGGGAGATGACATCCTGAACTTTGGAAATGAAGTTCTCACACGTGATGTCCGATAAGCTGCCCTCAGGCGGACCAAGATGATCATCCCTCCCGTCTGTCTGTCCTAGGTTCTCAGGTTCAGTTTCTAGGGACTCCGAAGTCCTGCTCGTTTGTGTGTATGGAGGAGATTCATAGAGTTTGGAGTTGGACTGGTAAAGGCAGTAGAGGCTCTCCGGAGCCTGGGGGTCGGGCCTTTTATGCTGGGCGTAGTTTCTGTAGGCGTCCAGGAAGGACAGCTGCGGGTCAGTCATGACGTAATAGTCGGTGCGATTCAGCCCGTGCTTGGCGGTGCCGATGAGCAGGTCCCGATCGTGCTTCCCACACTCCCACCACACGGGGAGGTAGAGGCTGGGCCTGCAGAGCTGGAGGCGTTCGTGCAGCTGGGGGCACGTCAGCACCTGCTCCCGGACCTTCCGTAACAGCTCAATGCGGTACAGAGTTCTTGCAGCCCGTTCCTCGGTGATGGGTTCAACACAGATGGTGGGATCGGGGGGACCTGGGGAGGTGAACAGAGAGCCCATCACTTCAGGGAGCCCTTGGTCACCCGCTGCCCACCCGAGTCCCCGCTCTCTGGTCTCACAGGTTTGACTCCCTAGTCCCGCAGCACGGCAGTCTCGGTGTGTGTGCGCCCCTGTCAAAATGAAAAGCTAAGAGAGAACGGGAGGTTTTCTATGAAACAGGACAGACTCAGCAAGGGTTAGAGAAGAGCACAAAAACTTCAGTTCTGGAAATAAGATTAGTTCCTTTGCAGTAAGCATGTGTGATGTGCCCTCGACACTAGGTGCTTTACACACGTTAGCTCTCACAGAAAGTCTGAGATATACAAGCATCATCCTGCTTTAAGGTTGAGGAAACATGTTTAGATAAGCTAACTTGCTCAAGGTAGCAGAACCGGGACTCTAATCCAGGTCTTGTCAGTGCGATGCCAAGGCCCAGCTCTTCCCGCTCATGTGAAAACACACTAACCACGCCACTCGGGGGCAAGAGCTGGGACACCTGTGCCTGCTACCTACAGCCCAGCACCCACACTGGGTAGGCTCAATGTGTGTTTTAGCTTTCCTAAAATACAGTCACGTGGCCCAGAACAAGTCTATCTACAAGGATGAGGGTGAAGAGGACGCTGGAGGAGCTGCTGCAAATAATTCCAAGCAGGAAGACATTTCTCAGAAGAGGCCTCTATCAGACCAGGAGGTGTTAAATGACAGCTACTTCCTTTCTCTAGCTACAAGCCAACAATGAGAAAACCAAGATTTCATCGGAGGAAGGTGCAAAGTTCACAGCAGGCTACATCGATGAGACTTACAAAAATAAAACTATACTTTGGAAAAGGTGATTGATAGGAGTCTCAATATCTCTGCGAGGTTTTAATTTGAATTTCTATTTTTGTTGGGAGTTATATCCTTTTGGGAGAGAGATTTTACTTTATGAGGGTGGACCTCATTTGGAGTTCATAAATTTGTGAAAACCCACTTGTTTTCACCTAAAACCTTCAGGTAGGCTCCACTTTTATAATTAGACCTAAAATAATTCTGAACCTGGAAATTCAAGCATGTTCTTTCCGTGTCCCATCTGGGGTACCATGACAGAGTTTTCTCACCGCTATCTTTCCACGGGGGCAGACGGCAGACGTGCCGGCACATGGCCACAAAACTATAAAAATAGTGTTCCAGGCTCTCATCCGACTTCTTGTCCAGATGAGAAATGATGCGGAACTGCGTCCAGTTGAAGGTTTTCTTTTCTTGATCATAAACCACGCCAAAGGAAGACACTGTTCTGTAGAAGTCGGCTTGCTCCCTCCTCGTCCACCTGAGATTTAATCAAAAAGGGATAAGTACACATATGTAATACCTTAATCAATAAAGAAAAAAAGTTGTTTTTTTTTTTAAAGTGACAAAGGGCATGTATCAGATGTTCTTTTAGCAGCAAAGGGAACAGTGCCAGCTCATCTGTGTCCATTAGTTATATTTATATGCATGCATACAAGTCCTTTGTTTGATCTCTCCCCAATATCCCCACCTTCCCCTACTTTCCCTCTGAGGTTTGACTGTCTGATCAATGCTTCTGTCTCTGGATCGGTTTTTGTTCATCAGTTTATGTTGTTCATTATATTCCACAAATGAGTGAGATCATGTGATATTTATCTTTCTTTGACTGACTTATTTCACTTAGCATAATACTCTCCAGGTCCATCCATGCTGTTTCCCTTTTTACAGCAGCGTAGTACTCCAAGGTGTAGATGTACCACAGCTTTCTAATCCTCTCATCTGCTGATGGGCACTGTTTCCAAATCTCAGCTATGGTGAATTATGCTGCTACGAACATAGAGGTGCATATTATCTTTTTTGACTGGTGTTTCTATACCGTTGGTCACTTTTATCCAGCATGGTATTTTTAAGCACCAACCCCAGAGACTGGGGTCCCATTTAGGAAAGAGGGTCAAGTTGGAAAATCCTAAAAGTCTTGGAATTGTGAACAGAGGCTGTCCTAGATCTCATCGGACTCCCCAGTCAGCAAGACACAGTAACATCTGGAGGCTGGTTCTAGTTAATTTTGGAGACCACCTATCTCCCTGAGAGAACAGAAAGTACACTTCCCTGCACTCTCGGCTTTCCTTTCTGTCCCCTTTACCCAGTGGGCAGCTCAGCAGGCCCTCTCGGCCACTGGCTTTTATTTTACCTCTTTTGGGCTTCCTTGTTGATGAGGTCCATTTCAGAAGTCCTCCTGAACATCTCTTCCTGGACCCAGTATCCTTGGTTACCAGGTCCCAGAATTTCAGGCCGGCAGAGTTCCTTGCGGTTCCAACGCTGGTAAATAGTGACCAGTCGCCTGAGCCGAGCTGTGAGCGCAGATGAAACTGGCCAGGGCGATTTGTCTGGGTCGGAGCCATCCTGGGCTTCAAACATCAGTGAGGACATTAGTATTTACAAACAGAACCCAACGGAGGTGACTGAATAACTGAAGGAGCTCAAGTGTTAGGCAGAGCTGGTAGGCTGCAAGTTTGCTTTAGAAACAGCTCGGATGTGGCTGGCTGCTCTCTCTCAAACCCAAACGTGCCTGCCTGTGGGGATAGAACTGATGGAGGACCTTGTCCTAAGCCAGGAACAAGCAGACCCTCAGAGGCCTCCCCCATGGAGAACTATGGGCTTTTGTGTAGCTGGGCTTTTCAACTGCCAAAGACTATAAAGTGTGAATTCAGAAAAACAAACCAAAAAAACCCAAACCAAACCAAACCCTCCTAACTTTTCTCCCTCGCCAAACATTTAAATTAAAAAATGAAAAAAGAAAAAAGAAAAAAAAAAAAAAAAGAGAGAAAAGAAACCACAATTCCTTTGTTTCCCTCAGACTCCACCTGACGTCAGAGCCTATCAGTGATTTCAGGTTTGAGCTTCAGTGCCAGCTGGAGGCGGCTTGCCAGAGCCAAGCTGCAGCTCTGTGGGCTGCTCCAGGGGAGTCTGACCAAGGCCCACTGCCGTGGCTTTTGAAAGAGCCTCCTTCAAAAACAGCGTGTTATGAACCTGGACCTTACTTTTCTTTGCCTTCAGAAGGTCACAGTCTCACCTGCCCGGCTGTCATCCTTCTTCTCACCAAAAATGCCGTCCCCTCCATCACTGGAACTCTCCTGGGGACAAAGGAAGCCATCAGCAAACTGCAGCTCAGAGGGAAGCACCCAGACAGCCCTTGTCCCGAAGGAACACGCACGCACAGAGATCTGCCAGGAGCAGCTCCAGCGCCGTGGTCCTGAGAAACGAAGCTCACTTAGGCACAATTTTAAAAGAGCCAGCAGGCAGTTTATTTAGAATAAGCATTTCCCCCCTGGAACTGTGTGGAATGCAGAGAATTACAGCTCAGAGAATGATGAAGTTGAATGTTCTCCCTGGCAGCTACATTTTACAAGCGCTATTTTAGCTGTGAATTTAAATATTTGCTTTACCATGAAATGTAATAGTCATTTCACAAAGGTTGTGCCTACATTTCTGCTGAGAAAAGAATCATGCTCATGTACGTTATGGTTAGCTTACTTTAGTCACAGCATAGACGCTATTTCCCTGAAACACGGCTGCTGCAGCATGAGACGGATGGTGCAAATCCTAGGAATTTAAAAATAAATTCACACTCCGAGCTCCGGGTGAATCTGGAGTAGTATCACAGGCATGAGGCTTATCCAAGCGGGAACATTGTTCAAACTGGCGCTAATGAATTCCTTCATGAACTCCTTGGTTTCAGAAACGGAGCCTTAAAAGCTCCATATATCTAAGGCATGTGGAGTTTGGGGATGGGAGGAGAGAGAGTGTGCTGTTTTTCCACTGGACTCCATTTTTAACATGGAAGCTTGTTTTTGACCAGTGTCTGTTGATCTGAACAGTGGGAGAATGACCCCAGAGTGAAGACTAACTTTTTGTGCAGTGGATTAAAACGGAGCTTCCTCTTTTCTAGAATGAAGGATAAGAGTAATGCCTAACTGAAGGGAAACGCGCTTGTAAGCCTGAAGTATTCTACATGAAAATATTACTGTTGTGTTCAGAGAACCCTCAAACTCTTAACTCGGAAGAAATTTTCAGTTCCTAAGGGAATTTTTCTTACAATGGGACCAGACCATTAGGCGTTATATTTCCCTGTAAGAATCTTTCTCAGGCTCACTGTGGAGATTTCGGAGGCACTTGGAGTAGCAGCAACTAGGTTTATGAGAAAAGGCTGTGTCACTACTCACTCCTGTTTCTGTTCTGAGAGATGTTAATCTCCCTACATAATGGGTTTGGTAAAGAAAGACTCCAAACCATTCTAAACACAAGTATGCTTTTAGACCAACTGCTTTGGAAGGTTTTTGTAGGTTCATGGACTCCAGCTGCATCTGAAATCTGTTTACCCAAGTTCTTCTGCTATTAAACTGAGAGAGACTGGGGAAAGGGAGCACACAAGATCAGCGGTCGCCAACCGGTGGTCCTCGGACCACTGGTGGTGTGTGTGTGAGGTCCGTAAGGTTGGCGATTGCTGGTTTAAGGAAACCTTTGGAGCAGTGGTCACCAACCGGTGGTCCACGGGCCATTTGGTTCGTTGAGGTCCGAACGGTTGGCAATCACTGCATTAGATCATCTCAAACGTCCCTTCTAACTCTAACGTTTCATGGTTCTCCGTCTGGCACACCTGAGGAGGACAGCTGTCACAGTGTGCTCAGGAAGGCACCAGAGCGGCGAGGGTCTGGAGACGGTGCGATATGAAGAAAGGCAGAGGAACGAGGGAAACCACACCTGCAGACTTAAAGAGATTGAGGTCGCTAACCGGCCTCAAGAATTTGAAATCCTGTGAGAAAGGAAAGAAAGGAGAGTTTTGTTCTTTGCAGCACCAATGAAAACTAGACACAATCTATGGAACCAGCTGGAAGCCAGATGTCTGGGTCAGTGTAGGGAGCATCACCCAATGAAATGGCTTCCCTGGAGGCAGCACCTTCCTCCTCTTTCCCCACAGACTCCTGAAGTTCCGGAACCTACCTGAATGAGCCCCTGACATGGAAGTTGCCAAGAGGATAGACACTCAGACGCTTGTTAGGGCTCTTTGCAGTGCTAAGAGCCTCCCAATCTATCAACTGCTAACCTTTCTGCGTCCAGGTCTATTTAATTCAGAGGAATTACCCTAGGGATGGATGATAGGCTCTTTGGGCTTCTTGAACTCTGCTTGCTGATCTGCCTGAGGGTAGGGGAGTAGGGACTGGGCCGCAGGCTTGCTTCAGATGTTGGCTGTTCTCCTGCATTTGTTACTTTAGCACACGGACTAGAAATCAAGCTTAATCTGTTATATAATCTGCCCACCTCAAAATCTGGAGGAAGCCACCCTCAATTCCATCTGCTTTAGATTATATTGTATTTATAGCCCAGGTTTCAGAGGTTTCAAAAGCAAAAGAAATAATATAGGCATTAATTTTATAAATGAATTAAAAGGTAGTTCCAGAGGAGTTTTTCCTTACTATAAGAAAACGTAAGTTATTTTATCAGTTTTGCTGCAACCCCTTCAGTGCCCAAAGCTCTCCAAGATCAAAGACTGACCAGTTAGGCAGGTAAACCTCACTGAGCAGCTCTCACCGGCCTGGCCTGCAGGAGGTCTGGTAGCCGCCTTTCTGCAGAGGCACTGCCGGGAGGATGGCGCATGTATGCACAGCTGAAGTACTTTCTCCCTTCTCATTATGAAAAGAATACTTAATTGGAAAAGAGAATACCAGAATATCGAGAGGATACCTAGGTTGAGCTCTAACATCTAGTAGCTGAGAGAATTTGGCCACGTTCTTTAATTCCTGGGCCTCAATTTGCTCAGCTCTCAAAGGAGGGCAGTAATATCTGAAGTGTTTACTTCACAAAGTTGAGGTGAGAATCAAATGAAACAAATGGAAAAGGTGCTTTGGAAAGAGTCAAGTTCCACATAAGCATAAGGTATTGCTTTCATTTCTTTGGCACTAGAGTGGTTTCTATGAAAAACACGCCCCAAATCCCAGACAAAATATGTAGCAGAATAAGCTATGACCAAAACGGTAGAATTTGGGGTTTTAATTGTCAAGACCAGTACTCAATTTCCATCTGGTCCAGGGTCCGAAGCTTCATGCTGATTTGCTTCAATCTACCACTCCCCAATTCACCGTAGGGAGACATGAAAACATAGCTTCAAAAAATCATTATTTCCTACTCTGGGAAAAGTGATGTCATTATTACTATTACAGGAATCAGAGCTGATGGAAGCCAAAGTAAATATCACACATTCTCCAAACTAGAACCAAAAGAAAAGAATTGATAACTTTTAGGTGGTGACCAAGAGAAGAGGAGAGATTATTTAGGCATTTGAGTAAGTTGGGGACAATGCTACAGTAGCTGCTGGGATCCAGAATTCATAAAATTAGCTCTACTCCTCAAAGCCAGGGGAAAATAGTAAATGGTGCCTGAGTCCTGGTAAGATTTTGTTGTCTTCTGCAAAGTCCCAGAAACTCATTTGTAAAATGCAATACAGACTTATGCTTCTGGGAAGGTGCACATTTCTTCACTCCTCACTCTAAGTACAGCTAAAACACCTGGACATTTATACATGAAACAAACATAAGGAAACTCTTATGCAAAGAGAATTAGGCAGACCACCTAGGAATCATGAACCTAAGGAATGACACAGTGGTGAGTTCTCTGGGTTTTCTTTTTTTCTTTTTTTTGGGGGGGAGGGTTTCTTTATTGCCTTTTATATCCTAGATTTGGAAATAAAGAAGCTGGTTACCTGGAAAAGGCAAATGATACAGACGGGGGGAAGGGAGAGGAGGAGAGGAGGGTACCAATAAAAGCCTGCTCTCACAAAGTACCAGGAAAAGGGCAAGTTAGAAACTTTGTGAATACCCACTACATTCCAGTGCAATGACAAAGTAAAAACAGTGGCTCAGGATACCCATACCACAGAAGCTGCGTGGGAAATCTAGATCTCCACCCTCACCAGGCTGTAACAGGGCACGCCATTCCCATGCTGGGATGGATGGTTTCAAAAAGCTAACAGGGAGGGGGATTTTCATCTCTGATGGTAATGAGGTGCCCACCTCACTCATGGTGTCAGCAAAGACCATGCAGAGAGCTTTGTGATAAAAAGCCAATTCCCAGAGGTTACATAGTTTGTTTGTTTGTTTATTTATTTATTTATTTATTTATTTAGGTTACATAGTTTATGATTCCATTTATAGAACATCTATAAAGAGGTAATATGCTAATTGGTTCTAACAGTAATGACCAATTTGCATATTGACAGACCAGCAGGAGGCTGCGCACACAGCGGAGGGTGGCGGCTAGGGCCAAGTTCCCGGGGGTCTGAGGAGAGTTCCTGACAGGAGCCCAGACTGCAAAGAAGGTAGAGGAAGCAGCCACAGAGAGCTCTTCCAATCCCCCTGCATGGGCACCCTACCCCAGCCCCCATTCTCCCAGAGGGATGGATGGACACCCTACCCCAGCCCCGCACCCCTGGGGGCACGGGGAGGCTGACTGGACAGGGAGAAGATCCAGCCTCAGGGTTAGCTGTATTCCACACCTCCGACTCCAGATCTCTTCCCTGCCACCCCCGCCAGAGGCGCCCACAACAGTGTGCCAGCAACCGCCCATCAGTGCCCCTGAGGCACTCGGGCCCCGCAGCAAGCTGCTGTCGGGCCCCCTCTTCTGTGGCCAGGCACACCTCTCCTCCCTACAACTCCAGACCCGGGTAGAAGCAGGCCTGAATGGCCCCTCGGGGTCAGAGCCTTCCTCCTGACAGCAGCAGTGTGGTCTCCGCAGCTGAAGCATGCTGAACCTTGCTGGGGACATGGCTCCACCCGCCCTCCTAGCCCGCCTGGCTCCACCCTGGCCGGCCGCCACCCCACTCCAAGAGATTGGAGCCCTGCCCTGAGCAGGTACAGCTGCGAAACAGCAACATACAATTTAAAGAATGGTGTGGAGAAACCAAGATGGTAGCATAGGTGAACACCTGAACTTGCTGCCTGGAAATACCACTTCAAAACTACAACTAAAAGAAAAAACGAACATCATCCAGAACCGCAAGAAGGCTGGCTGAGTGGAAATTCTACAAGTAGAAGCGGTTAGGGGCCATCAGGTCCTCCCAAGGGTAGCGCCGCTCAGGAAGAAGCCGGGCTCGCGACTGGCGAGCACAGCAGCAGTGGTGAGAGCCTCTCCTGCCTCCATGGCAGTGCGTCTGCCTAAGCCGTCAGTCAGACATCCCCCCGGGGCTCCCCTCGTGCAAGAGGGCGCAGGACAGGCTGAGGGACACCCCCCGAAGTGCACAAATTTCATGAACTGGACCACTAGTTCTTAAAATGATAAAATTACAGAACTAGAGAACAGATTAGTGGTTGCCAGGGATTAAAAGGAGGGGAAGGCAGGAGGGAAGTGGAGGTAGCTATAAAAGGGCAACATGAAAGATCACTGTCAAGACTCCATCAGTGTCGGCATCCTGGTTGTGATCTTGTGCTATAGAGATGTTCCCCGGTGGAGAAACGGATGTGAAAGGTACAAGGGGTCACTCTATATTGTATCTTAGAACCACACCTGAAATCTAGTTATCTCAAAATCAAGTTTCATTAGAATGAAAGTACAATTTAGTCTGGATATTGACAAATTTTATAATAAAATGTTGGGGGAAACACAATGCAATCAAATTCCCCCAAAGCACTGCTAAGATGGAGTTTTCTTCCTTCATGTGGCAGATCATGAGTATTACCAATGTAGCACATATGACTCACCACTTGTTTCTGGAGGCCATCTAGTTTGTCTTCAGTGTTGTCCTCTTTATCCGTGTTGCTTCTAAACAAAAGTAAAAAAAAAAAAAAAAAGGCATCATATACTACCTAAGAGCTATTTGGCAACCAGCATGCTTACAAGAATGCCTCCTAAATAGCAGAGAAAAAGGAATATTAGTAGATCACTTTCCACACAGGCCTCAAAATATGGGTCTTTCCAATGTTGTAACTTCTATGGGCAAGGCCCCCTGTCAGACCGACTCACTCAGTCAAGTAAGAAAGAGGCCAGCTGTTCAACAATGATTCTATCATAACCCACGCAGGGTTTTCTGGATCTGTGGCTTTGATTAAAGAAGTCTTTAGAGACCGAAGGCTGTGCAAACCGAGCCAGTCCTGAGATGCCAACCCCTGTATCACAATAGGATGCTCTTCGCACAGAATCACTCTTTTGGCAGCAGTCACTGCTTTGAAAAGCTGCTCTGCTGAAACTTCCAAGAAATGACATTTTGCCCCCTGTACCACCAATCACTTGCCTCTAGGTTAGCTGCCTAATGTCTCCTCTCTTGTGAGCTTAACTACTGCTGGTGTCTATCTGTTTTTCATCATTCCTTTTAAAACTGCCTGTGAGGTATTCCTGTCTCAAATATTCTTATCTTTGCTGCTCAGATCCTGGAGGCAGGAGAACCTCCCACCTTCACTGCTTAACCACAGAAAGAACAGCCAGCCCGTAAGAAAATGAGCCTCATGCCACACCCAGGGACCTCATTCATTCAGCCAATGTTTTCCCAGACCCAGTGGCCACACTGGTCACCTGGGCATTTGCTAACATCTCTCTGACTGCATCTACTTTTTGCTAAAGGAAACATCTGTGGGTAGAGAATGTTATGGTAGCTGAAGTGTGAATCAGGGGTTAAGAACAGATGGAAAATGCATTCCACTCTTTTCTCCGCCATAGAAATAGTGAAGGGCTCCACACAGAGCCACGCCCTCATGTCCAGGCTTGGCCACAGCTCTAGGCAATGAAAAGCAGTATCTGCCACTTTGGGGGAGAAGATCAGGTCAAAAGCTCACCAAACATATAACAAGATATATATGTTATGCTTTTTTTTAAAAAATGTATATACATGTATTTTGGAGAACTAGTTTTTGGTTCTTTAGCTTTCCTATAAACTTATGCATTTGGAGCTTATGCCCACAATAAATAAAACCCAGCAAAGAGGACACCTCCATGCTTTTTTTGCAGACCCAGGGAGAAGGCTGATATTCCATGGCTGTCAGGCAGTGTGGCTCCTAAATCCACCTCAGTCCCAGACCATGCAGTTCTTAGACAATGCTGGAATTTCATCTGAGGAATGCCAAGGGCAGGAAGCCTGTACTTGTGCCTCTTCTTAGCTTTCTGCCAGGTAGGAGAGGTCTGAATGCTTCCTCGAGAATCCTCTCACCAGGTAAGAGAAGAGGATGGTGAGCAGCTTAGGGAACCCATGTAGCACAAGAACCAGTTCTTGGTTCACAGTGCTTAGAAGTCACAGAAAAGGCCTGACGTGTAAGAGGATGGCGCCAAAGCAGCCATTCTGGAAGGCCGCTCCAACATGGCCAGGCTAAAGGAGACGTCACGCTGTGAGGAGGAGACTGAGTGTGCTGGACATATGTGGAGGGGGTCACAGAGTCGTGGCATGACACGTTAGTTACTGCACAGTTGGCCTATGCAGCTTCTCACCTTTCAGGAACGTCTGAGGTCCCATCCGTAACACCCTGTTCTGCAGAAAGGGACTTCTCATCTGGCATCCCAACTTTCTCTAGGAAGCAGAGTGCAGGGTCTGCTCGCATGGCATTGTACCGCTCGTACCCTGGTCAAGAGGAATGAGAAACATCAGAATCATGTCAGAACTCACACAATCTGCCCCGGGATCTGGATGGTCATTCCGTTTCTCTTATTAAGTAAAAACAAAACAAAAATAGTTATTGAAGATGAACTAGATCCTTTAAGATTTCCTATCTGGGAAGATCCTTGAGCTAAAGTAGACACCTCTGAGTAGTGCTAGGCCAAAAAACGAAAGCTTAGTGACTTTGCCATAGCAGGTTTTGGTTTTGTTTTGGTTGTTAGTATTTGCCTGGAATATCTTATTTTACCCCTTAGATGTCAATCTCATTCTGTCTTCATCTAATCTTATCTCACTTCCAGCACTGCTTCCCTGGGCCAGTCAGAGAGCCTTTCTTGCCCTCCTTCCCTGGAGGAGCTTGCTTCCTGTTTCAGTGTGGGTATTAAACCGCCTGGTCTGCTATCATATCAGCTTCTGTATGATATGATAGATGATAGCAGACCATATCTGGCTATAATGTGTAGGGTATCTGGAGTGGCCTTCTTCATTTGGGGCTTTCCTTTATTTCTTTCTTTCAGTTTCAGCTACAATTCACCTCGCGTTCACATGTCTGTGGTGAGTGTGTTGGGTGGGGGGAGGGAGAGGAAGCATGTGCATCTGCCTGCCATACTGCTGGGGCTGCAGGTGTGTCCTCCTGACAGCCACAGAGGCTCCATCAGGGAGTTGGCGATGTGCTCCACAGCCACCACTGAGATGAGACACCGTCAGTGGACGCTCCTGCACACACCACGATCACAAGCTCTGGAATATGGTTGCCTGCAGCAGCCGACCTACTTTTGGATTCTTTCCAAAATGAGATGAAAGCAAGTTTCAGTTACACTGTGGCCCTTTGTGCTTAACAGGAAGGTCACATGCTTCTCCTTCTTCCTTCAGAGCTGTTTCAGCCCTGTACTGTCCAAAAGAGGAGCCACACGCAGCTATTTTAATTACAATGACAAAAAAAAACCCCAAAAGTGCTCACATTGCCAGTGCCCAACAGCCATATGTGGCTCCTCCACAGCTGACTTCCAGTGCAGAAAAGGCATTTCCATAATGACAGGGAGTCCCTTGGCAGCACTGTTCCAGCCTAACCCAGTGGTTTGACAAAGAGCTCTCAGCAGCACTGGACGCTCTATTCACTGAGCCAAACTGGTTTTGGCCAAAATCCAAGTTTTGAGGGAATTTCTCATTAAAATATGTAAAGTTATCCCTCAGTATCCAGGGAGGATTGGTTCCAGGATGCCCCTGAAGATACCAAAAATCAACAGATGCTTAAGTGCCTTACAAAAAACAGCATTTTATTTGCATAAAACCTGTATTTGTATAGAGGATATAGCAGGGTATCGCTGCACAGCAATTCAGTCACATGGATTCAGTGTAGTGTTTGGCATATGGCAAATTCAAAGTTTTGTTTTTTGGAACTTTCTAGGACTATTTTTGGGAAATATTTCTGATCTGAATTTGGTTGAACTGGTGAACGAGAAATCTGCAGATATGAAGGAAATGCAACTGGTTATAGCCTGTAAGTATTGAAGAATCCTACTCATAGGGCACGTGTTAGAAAGTTTACTTTCCAAAGGCAGAGTAATAAGCAACAGTGAAATAATGGCAAGCATCTATTAGTACCAAGCACTGTTCTAGGCAGTCTGCCTATACTGTTCTAGTTAATCTTCTAACGACCCTCCACGTTAGTTGTTTTGATAGCATTCCCCTTGTAGATAAGGAATTAGATCGTAGGTGTTTATGAAATGCCCAAGATCAGACATTTAGTAAGTGGCAGAGCTGAAAGCAAAAGCTAGGTGTACCGAACTCTTCCCACTTTAAACCCTGCTCTCCAGTTTTAAATCTTAGTTAATTCGCCTGGCAGGCAAGAGGGGTATCAGGCACACTGACTGTCACCTGGCATCTTCATCATTCATTTTAACTGTTGGCTGAAAGCAAGGGTAGGTGCTTAGAACAGTCAGTGTCAGAAGTGAAAAAGGGGGCACTTATTTCAGTTTCCAAACCTACTAAAAGGTTTCTTAATATCCTTTGCTCACTTGCTTACTACATTAAAAAAAAAAAAAAATGCCCATGCCATCTTCTATTCTCAAATTTTTATACCCAGTAGGGCAAACTAGAAATGTAAAGGATATCTGGAATGACCTTAGAATTTTATATATATATGAAATGCTAAAACCTTAACCTTTTCCCCACCTACCACATGCCAGACAATAGGCCAACTATTGGGACAATGAAGTAAATGAGTATGAGGCAGCCCAAGCATACAGACAGGTCAGGTGAGGAAGATACAAGGTCTTTATAGCCAAATCACTCTCTTGACGTTCCTCACTGATCCTAACATTCACTGTAATTTTGTGATTCCACATTTCGCTGGTTCAAATTCTGAGAGGGCAGAAGTAAGACTCTACTTTCTAAGATAGACGTGCAATAGGAATGTGGCGTTTTCAGGAAAGGGGGAACACGGAAATACACACCGTGCTTGAATACGCCAATCAGAAGGGACTTGTCGGCCTCAGCATCCCACCAGTCCACTGGAATCTCCACGTAGTCAATGTCGGGCAGAGGCACTTCCAGCTCCCTGTGGAAGGAAGAGCACAGACTCATAGTTCCTTCAACAGACAGAAAACAACGTCAGAGCTACTGGTCAAACCCTGGTATTAAGCCACATGGCTAGCTGCAGGCTTAGACACTAAGTAGCAGGATGCAGGAATTGTGGGCCAAGGTTCCTTACAGGGCTTTCCCAGTGAGCGATCTCTGTATGTGTATTTGACTCCCAGGCTCCACCCTAGACTGACTGGTATACCTTGTGGAAATTGTCAGTTGGTCTGGAGTGGGGGCTTAGGATCTACATGCTTGAGGTAGTTCTGATGTGCACCTTCAGTTGAGAACCACAGCAAAATCCATCTATATACCATTCTCTGAAGGCTGAACACCTCTCAAATGGTTGAATTTATACATAATCAAATGCTGAGTACTCTGAACAATAAAGATTTATAAAAAATAAATTAAAAAATGCTGAGAAGATGAGTGTCCAAACCATGGAGAGATCTCAGGCTCGATTTGAGAACAAGATGATGGGCTTTGGAACATGCAGGGATAGGAAGACAGCCCTTCAGTGGACATGGGCCACAATGGGTGGCAGTGGCCTGCTAATGCTCTGTAGGGTCAAAAATGACCACAAGTTGCACTGCTCCTGGCCAAAGTAACAACAATGACTTTCCTAGAGAGTAGACACGAGGGGATTGCAGGCCTGTACCATCAGCCCCTTTCTGACTTTCTGCCCACGTTCCGAGAGCTCACATGGGCCCTCAGCTCACTGTCTTCATTTGTCCTGCCCTGGGAGAGACCTTCTACCTGCATGGCTCCTCGCCCTCCTCTGAGCTCCTGGATGGTTCCTCTGCTGCACTTGAAGTTTCTTATTCAATCAGGTTCATTTACTGTGACACAAGGCTGAGGCTCTTGTCAGGCCCAGCTCCCCTGTGAGGATGGTGTCCCCAGCCCCACCTTTCCAGGCAGCTCCCCTTCTCTGGCTCCCCTGCGGGGTCCCCTGCTCTGCCTGTGTGGTGCCATATGCTGGACAACTTTTCTGGGATGAACTTTTATGTATTCCTTATGGCAACTTCTCTACAATAAGACATTAAATCTGAACGGGACGAGGGAGAGCCAGGATTGAGGAAAGCAGAGGAGGGAAAAGCGTGGTGAATAGATTGGCACTCTCCAAGTCTGTCTAGCTTCCATCTATCTACATGTCTATGAAAGCAATGATGGGGATGAGGAAGTTCGGATAGATTATATGTGGCAGGTAACACCCAATACAAATGATTGGTTGAATTCTGCTTTATCTATATGACTCACAAATTGAACCTTTTTACCAAACACTCAACTTCCCTATTCCTCCTAAAAATGACCACAGTAACTACAGAAACCCTGTCAAGTAACCGTAGTCACTGTGATGACTGCTCTGGATTGGATTGCCTGTGAACAGGGCTGCCAATGTTCTTCATCCTTCTCTTTCTTCAGTGCAGCTATGATTACTAAACGTTAGAATTTCCCAATGGAAAGGAAGAGAAAGAACAAACCATGGCCCCAGGTCATCTCAAGGCACAGTTCAAATACCAAGACTTCAGGAAATGACGGGCATAGCACAAGGCTGGAGCCAATTGCACGTGTGGGGCAGGGGAAGGGGGCTGCCTGGTGATCCCACCTACAAACTGTGACCATCTGACAGCTTCAGGTGGGATTTGGGAACCGACAGCCTTAGTCCCCCAAATCTTAGTTCCCACAGAATTCTACAGCTTTAGAAACACCACTTCACAAAATCAAGGTGCAAGAAATCAAACGCGTCAGAGGTGACAGGATTAGCAAATAAAGGAGAAGCCCTCAAAGGCCAAGAATGGGATTCCGAGTAAAAGTTAGATCAAACATATGACAGTAATTAACATTCATTCTACAATGATTAAGGAAGAGAAATGACTGTTCTGAAAAGATTTTACAACACTGTAAAAAAGAGAAAAAAAAACTAACTTACTAGTAAAGCCTCACTGAAAGCTGTGTTTCTAAGAAAGTGTTTTCTCCATGCACTGTCCTTACTCCACCTACCTGCTCTCCCATCTAAGTAACTGATGGGTGAGATGGGAACATGGATATATTGGCCCTTTTCCAGGAACAGGCATTTATGACAACTCTCTACCTCAGAGAGGTACGGTTGATTCATTTTACCTGGCGGGGGTTCCTTCAAATGCTTTATCAGCTGCTTCTCCCAGTATTTCTGCTTTTAGGTAGTAGAGCATCCGAACTCGCAAAAGTACCCTATGAAAGGTGAACACATTAATGCAAACACGTTAGAACCCAGGAGCTGCCTGTGAACTGCCACCCCCAGTTGACAGAGAGATTCTGGGCATTCCCATGTCATTACATTAGTAACATGAAGGAACATATGAGAAAACACTAGAAAAACAAACCACTAGGTACCAATGGCGGACATTACTGTGATCATCCCATTTTACACAAGAAAAAAAAATGCATTTCATCTGCTAAGTCACCCTGTGAGCCATGTGGGGGTGACAGCAGAAACAGTTCCTCCCAGTCCCTAAAAGAATCCCTAAATGGCCTCAAACATTTCTTTGGTAGAGCTGCCTTCCAAGAGGCTGGTTACCAGTTGATTGAAGGGTGGGTCATGGTGAATGGCACTGCTTTCAAACAGTTCCACTTGTACATCATTAAATGAACCTTTTAAAGTCCCTTTCGTGGCAATTCTATCAGAGAGTAACACTTTCACTATGATCCTGCAAGGACCACACTCCGGCCCCTTGGGGAACACACCAAACTGTTTGAGACAAGGCAATCAAGGAAGTATCTGTTGGGCGAAACTGTGTGCCATGCACCATGCTGGGTACTATGAGGGACACAATGGAAGTAAACAATCTCACCCTGTTCTGGAGGAGCGCACGGCAGTCTAATTGTGAAATGACACCAACCAAGAAAGAATCACAACACAGAAGGTGACAGTGGGGTCAAAGGAGTGGGGACTGGAGGTTGAACCCTAAACTTGTCGTATTAGGATGATGCTCTAACCAACAGAACTACCTGGCGAGGGCCGCATCTCTTTCTTAAAAAAAAAATAAAAAAAATACACACACACACACACACACACACACACACAAAAAAAAAAAAATCCAACACATTTTGCTGATATGAAATATACTTCCCAAAAGTCCCCTTTGCATAAGCTTAAAGCTTGGTGGGATTTTAACAAAGTGATCACACATGTGCATGTAGTATCCAGATCAGGAAGCACATTTATTTCCCCAACAGGAAGCCCGGTATTCCCTTCCAGTCACTACCCCCACTCCGAATGATTAACCTCTGTCCTGACTTCTTACAGCTTAGATTTGAAGCAGCTGATTTTTAACTTTTCAAATTTCTTTTAAAAAAATATATTTTATTGATTTTTACAGAGAGGAAGGGAGAGAGAGAGAGAGCTAGAAATGTCGATGAGAGAGAAACATCGGCCAGCTGCCTCCTGCACACCCCCTATTGGGGATGTGCCCGCAACCAATGTACATGCTCCTGACCGGAATCGAACCTGGGACCTTTCAGTCCGCAGACCGATGCTCTACCACTGAGCCAAACCGGTTTCGGCTTCAAATTTCTTTAAATGACAATTTCATGTCCTTACATACTACACCACTAATAACAAACAATGTTTTGAGTACTTAGTACTTATTGTGTACCAGTATGTATTAGCTCATTTAATCCTTATAACAATGCTAATAGGTAGACACTACTGTTAATCTCATTTTTTAGGTGAAAAGGCACCCAGAGGTTAAAGAATTCACCTGCTGATCAGCCATGGAGCCAGAATTTAAATCCAGGCAGTCCTGACCCCAGAGCTTGTCTTAACCCTTATCTGATGTTGGTTGGCAGTAAATTTACTAATTGAGAGAGCCTACAATCTAGAGTTCATAGTCATTTATGCTGAATAAATTCAAGTTTCAAGGCAGCGGAATTTAGATTTAATATACAGAAGGACAATTAATTAGAGTCATCTGGTAATTAAATGAGCCTTGCTGAGAAATGGCAAACTCCCATAAGTCCGAAGGCTCAGCAGAGGCTGGAAGATGTCCTGTGGGGATTCTGTGATCATCCCTTCAGGTGCAGAGGGAAGTTCTGTGTCAACCTCTCCAGCTCAGCCTGTTTTCAGTGCTCCAGACCCACATCTGTAGCTGTGGATGGAATAGCCAAATGTTGCTGCTCTAACTTAACAAAGCAAAACTTGAGTCCTTCATCTCTTAGTGAATGTAATGATTCTCATTCCATCATTGCTCATTCCATCAAAGCTTATCGTCATGGAGTTAACTGCTTTTTGTACTCTTCATCACACCCTATGGATTCTTCTTTAATCATGTGTCTCCTATTTAATTTTTCTTTCCAATTCTACTTAGCATCCTAATCTAAGTCTGTATGATCAATACTTGAACTATGACAGAACCCTTACAGTTGGCCATTCAGTTCAAATTATTGCCAAATTAATTTTTTCTCACCAAATACTTTATTTTTATCATGACTAACTTGTTCAAGAAGCAATGATTGCTTAATATCTACAATAAAAGAGAAACATACAAATTGATGCCAATCAGGAGTGAGTATGCAAATCAACCTGACAAAGATGATGGCAGCCCCACACCCCCAGCTGCTCTGGACTCTAAGCAGCAGGGCAGGGCAGGACACCTGCAATGGGAGAGGGTGGGGGGCGGAGGAAGCTATAGGAACAGTGCTCTGGCTGGAGTGAAGACTGAAGGTGGCGACCAGAGTGAAGGCCTTGGTCCTGAGTGCTGGAGGAATGGAGGAAAACCAGTGCCGGCAGCCAGGGGAAGGAAGGCCTATTGCACAAATCTAGTTTACTTATAATAGACTACCTATTTAGCCTGCTGCCTAAGCGCTGTCATCAACAGGTCTCTTGCTTAGCCAGCCTCCTCTTTTCGTGTGACTCTCATTCAGTCACAGTGACCACGATAGTGGGTCCTGCACCATTCAGGCTCCATTATCCACAGCACGTGACCTTTAAGTGTGAGACTGAGATCTACTGTCCCTAAGGAGCTTGTACTTTTGTGTACAGTTTTTGTTATAGTATTGGACATGAGACATTATCTTCAAATATTTGGAAGAATAAAGGGAAAGGACTAGACTTTATCTGATAAAGAAAAAAACAAAACAAAAAACAACCAACCTCCAAACAACTATAAAACCATTAGGTTGATGTTATAGGGAATAAGGGAAAACCTAGCAAATCCTCTTAATTCATAAGGTACTAAACTCTTTATAATCAGAGATATGTAAGTAGAAGCCCTCTCATTACCTACCAGGAATGTCAGGGATATAATTCTTGCATGATCTAGGAAGCTGGATTAGATGGGTTCTGAGGGTCCTTTTAATTCTAATAGATACACTATATAATGATGCAATTTCCATGTGCAAGCATATCAATGTTTCAGTGTCCGAGTGCTTTAACTTCTCAAAACTAAACTTTATACAAACAGAATTTCATAATCTATTATTTTTTCCTCTGTCTCTCCCTACCCTATCCAGCTGACAGCCTAGGGATATAAGAATACTATCTCAGATGCATGTCTATCAAATACCTGGAGACCATGAATGACAATAGCAACTGAGAAGAGGAAGCAAACTGACATGAGGGACTGAGAGTGATGGCTACTAGGTTGGTCTTCTGCTCAAGTTAATGTGATCTCCGTGAAGAGGGAGGCAAATAAAAAGATAGTGAAATCGCCAGGGTCTTAATTAGATTTTGAGTCAGGCCAAAAATATCCTCTGGGGTAAAAACTGCACTAGCAGAGAGGTTAGGTTCTGTGGAGAAGAGGTACTGGTAAAGGGGTCAGAGACCTTTAAAGCTAGAGAATCATGACTCAGCTTAGACCCCATATCTTGCTTTTCCAAACCTAGCATGGCAGTACAGGAACATCATGTGCTCCTGCAGGGGTCCGAAAAACTTGGGACAGTGAGTAGAGCTACTAGTAGGGGACGGAAAGGGGGGGGGAGGCACACCCACTTGTTGCAGTGTTGTTTGAGATGTTTCTTGTAGCCATCATCATGCAAGACCACCTCAGGGTTGCAGGTGGCCAGCCAGTCTGCATTCTTTAACTCTGGGAGCAGAAGCTGATTCTTCGTCTTCTTCCCCTTCCTCCCTCTGGGGACTGGAGCAGACAACCCTGAAACAGAAAGGCTGGTCAATGAGACAGAAAGCATAAACATGGGCCTGAGAACAGAACTGGGTTGGGATTGCAAAAAGGCAGCCAGGCTGTATGTGGCGGTTCTAGACAACAGACCCCACTACTCCATCTACCAAATAGTGATTGACGGCGGTGAAGAGATGTGCCTGGTCCCAAACTTAGTAAACCTCAGGACTGTTCAGTCAGGAAGTAAGAATTTACCAAGTATCCCAAGAGGATCAAGAAAGGTGTACCATAACCTGTGCACTCTAGGAACTTACCACACAGCCAGGGAAAAGGAAGTTGATCTGATACCTGAAGTTAAGCTATGGCCAAGCACAGGAGGGAGAAGCACAGCACAAGGAAAGGCGCAGACACAGGTGGAGCGGAGATGGCACCGTGAAATGCTAAGACAAACCATGGAGCACATGGTGTGAGTCTCATCGGAAGAGGAACCCTTGTGATGCTCAAGTAAACGGGCAGGACTGGCACCTGGCAAACTTTGGAGGGCCCAATAATACTTAAACAAAACATCACAGTAGCTCGGGATAATGCTGAGGGGGAACTGAAAGAATCATCATCCTTTCCCACAGGTAACATTCTGAAACAGACCAGAGAAAGGGAAGTCTCCAAAGCACAGCAACGTGGACCAACGTGGGAGGAGGGCTGGAAGTGTAGAGAGTTGTGCTTCTCAGGCCACCTCACCTGAGTGGTTCTGGAGGGTCTGGGCCTGCCCATCTTTGGTTGGTGTGATAAGCTCCCAAATGAAGCTCTTGATCTTCTCGTCCCCTTTGTAATGCTTGATACAGTACACCAGCAGGGCACGGCAAATCATCTCCATGTCCTTTTCGTTCAGATGCCACTTGAATCGCCCATGAGTCAGGATGTCCTTCCACCGGCCCCAGCTGAGTGGAAATACAGAAGGCTATTGGGGGAGTGAAGGCCAAGCATGCCCTCAACACTGCAGGACAAAGAGGGGCCAAGAGAGCTTCTCATCTTCTGTTGGGTCTATCAACTGGTCCAAGGGCCTTGTCCTGCAAGGCCTTGGAGGCCTGTATGTTGTAGCATACAAATGTCACTAAGGTGACCTGGCCGCTGGCCACTGAATGCTTTATATGGTCACTGGATTAAGAAGAGAGGGACAAAAATATTTGGATCACAAAATAAAAACTTGAAATTAAAGGAATCCAGCTGCAGTATTCAAAAACAATGGTGAGGTCCCAGAAGGTAAACCTACTATTTTGATCAAAGCCAGAACCCTGCACGAATCATGCCTTAACGGGAACATCTGTTGCACTGACTCCTTATATATCCTCGGTGGGGGGAAAGGCAGGAAATCAGTGCCAGGCAGCAAATTAGTAGCAAAGATTCGCTGCGACAAGCATATGAGAAATCATGGCACATCTACAATAGGGCAGCAGAGTGTCCAGTGACTAGGGTGAGGGAGTGGGGGCGGGGGTGGTCATGGGCAGAAAGCAAAGTTCTCTCTTGCTTTAACCGAGCCTGCATCAGCCCACAACTCCAGAGGGGACTGGAGAGACACACTGGACAAATCTCAGGGACCGAACACCAACAACTAATAGGCAAAGCCAATACCCACCCAAAGATGAGCAGGTTCTTCTCTACCCGGAAGCATTCGGCTCGGAGGTAGCGCCTGGTTTTATCATTGAGGCGCCTTGACCTCGTGGGCCTTTCGTCAGAGTCACTGTCCAACTCTGAAAACTCCATGAGCTCATCCTCCTCAAAGGAGTTGTAGTGTTTGGTCTGCTTTCTCACGCGAGGCCGGTCGAGCACTAAGCTTTCCTAGAAACAGAGAGGACAGCTGGGGAGAAAGCCCTGCTTCTGTCTCCCCCGTCACAATGCACAAGCACATCCTGTTGACATTCCTCCAGACACATTTGGGAAAGAACCACACCCTGGTCTGATCCTCCAGCAGGAAAGGCCGTCCCAGCACACCTGCTCTGTCCATGGCAAGCAGCGGGGATTCTCTGGGACTGGCTCAAGTTGATGTCATCCGTCACCATCTGCTGTCTCTGCAGTCATTCTAACAGTATGGGCAGGCGAGGCCCCCCCGTGCCCAGAGTGACAGTCGGCTCTGGCCAAGAAAGACGGAGTGGTGCACCCAGCCATTCTGCCCGGCATGCAGAGGCAGGCTGTGTTCTGGAGACAGGACCAGTTGGAGAATTCCATCTGCTCAGCAACTTTCTCAAGACAAACACATATTCCAGCTGTTCCATTTTCTGCCTTCCACTGGCACTAAATACTAATGTTTTGTCTTTCACTGAAAACATTATTTCCAGCCCAGGAACCTCTCATTTTAGTGGCTCCCCTGGCCACAACCATCGCCCCTCTTCTCTTATCTTCATCATCTTATGCGTCTCACTCCTTCCCCTTACATCCCCAAAGGTAAGCTAAGGTCCTGAATACTCCCCTATGTAGCCCAGGTAAATCTCTAGTGTTATCCCTGCTTCAGTCACCTTACTTTCCACCGGCTCCAACTGCTTCTTACTGTCCACAGGTCAAAAACCTTTTCTCCCCCTCCTCTCCCTCCCCTTGCCAACTTCCCTGCACTGAGTAACTTCTTGACTGTGAAACTGTAAAACACAGGTTACTAAAGGACTGCACAATCTTCCTATTTGGAGAGAGCTGAATTAAACCACTTCTGGTGATCCTACAGAAGAAGAGCTAAGGCTGGGTGCTGGCTACTGAATCAGCTGGATATCTGCAGGAACTGTCTCCGGGGCCTGTGGGTTCACAAGAGTTCAATACTCACCTAAGAAGACAGGTAAAAAGGGATGTATGCTCCTCCTGCAGTGAGGCAACAGGGTCTGAGGCAGAGGGAGGGGGAACTAACACTTCAGGCGCAGGGTACCTCACAAGGTCCTAGGCAGTTCTAGTCATGAGTTCTATCACCACCCCCTTTTGAACTTGTTTCAGTGAGGTCCAAAGGCTCACATCCAGTCAGGGGCAGAGGCAGTGTTCAAACTCTGGCTTTATTTTAAGACCATTCTCTCTCTTATGCATGGAAATAAAAAAATTCAAGATACTGAAAGAAAGGAAGTGAAGCCAACAAACTTTACTTATTGTGCTTTTCCCCTCTTCTTAGAATTCCTGTTTCTTTCATAGGAATGGTGAAAATGAGGTAAAATGGTCACAAACAAAGATTGGGATGCTGGCTTGGGCCAGAGGACTAAACTTGACCTGTTGGGCCAGTTCCAGTTCTAACTGCCTTGATTTCTCAGGTGCCCAGTATGTCCCATAGGTAATTTTAAATTCTAACAGTTAATGTTTATGAAGCTAAGCATGTTTTAAGTATATTACATTTACCATCTCATTTAAGAATTAGGGCTCAGGAGTAAATAATGACTTGAGCTGTATGAGAAGTTATGTTCCTGTAAGACGCAGTGAAACGTTCAATGGAATAAAGTATTCTTAATGCTGTACCTTTTCGTTCTTTGCTTCAGTGTCCAGTTCAGCTATTTTAGCCCATTTCTGCCAAAAATTCGGGTCATCTAAGGAAATATCTGTTCTGTTCCCTGAAGCCACAAAGCTAGCCTGTGAGGAAGACAAGCATCAGTAAGTTGTGCTTGGACACAGCACACATTAAATTAATAAGCACCTGTGTTCTTTCAAATGTATCAGAAACTCAAACAGCCTCAAAGCTATTCTTCTCTTTTAAAAGACTGGAAAGGAAATTACAATTTCAACCTACAGGATCATTTTTTGAAACTTAAACTTGGAAGCAGGAAGAGAGCCCTGGAAGACAATGGCAGTGTATTACTTGACATCTAGTTCCCTGTGAAAGAATTAATTTTTAAAACTTCCCTAGATAAAACTTTTCACCAGTTACCAAACGCCTGCTACAGAAAAGGCACGGAGGTGGGCAGTATGAGGTGGGCAGAGATAAATAATGGCTATAAAGCACAAAATATCCTACTGAAAACGTCCCATGCTAAACAGGAGTTTAATTAGACAGGTCACAAAGCTCAGGAGCCTGTGGTCGGGGAAACCTGAGAGTGATCTAATAAGTGGTCTCATTAGCTGAATTCTAAATCCAGTAACTTGCAGGGCAGCACCTAGCTGGGATAATTGACTGAAATGTATTTTCTCATGAAATGAACAAGATACTTGCTTGAGGTTGAGGACTGGGGTGTTCACTAGAAACTGACCAAGGAGTGCTCTGCAAGGGACTCAAAGTGACCACAAGGGCTTCACAGCAGGCTTTGTGAACAGTGATGGTGCACTTGCGGGCTAAGGTGTCTATCCCGCTCACTGAAAACCAGCTCCCAGGGGTTAGGAGTGGCGCTCTTTCCGTAGCTTCTAGCCCGTTACTGACACATCCTCTAAGTGTAACACAGAGTGTGCAGCCAGAAAATGTCCCTAGTGTACTTAGGGAAACAGAAGTCTGACTAATGAGAGTCAAAGCCCGAACACCTTTCTTCTCGCTCCCCACAATGGGCTCCGGAGAGAAGGTCCTTGTACCTTGGCGAAAGTGGAGCCCTGCCCTTCGGACTGGATGGTGATGGTGTGGGTTCTCCTCTGCAGAATCTGGTCTATGTCTTCTTCACAGAATTTGGAGCCTTCGTCTTCCTCATCCATCAGAGCTCCGTAAGCACCTTTCCGGAGCAAGTCCTCTACCTCCATTTTCGAAAGCTGCTGCACCTGGACAGGTCACCAAAGGCTACTCACAAAGTAGAAAATGCACAGGAGAAAAACAGCCTCAAATCTGACTCAGTACACAGCACCTCCACTAACTGCACATGTCGGAAGAATAAAGACATGAACAACAAGCTTTAGAAAATGTAAGCCCAGATAAAGGCACTCGAGAGAACCATGGGGAGGGCAGGCAGACGATCCTCTATAGGGAGCTCCAGAATAAAGCCCAGTCCATGACCCAATGACCCTAACGTTCTTCGGCAAGTTGGTTATTACCAAATGTCAAAAGCCATTAAAACTATGCACCATTAAAGAGGATATATTTAATGTTTATTTTATATTTCAGTTTGAGTCTGTATCTTTAAAAACCTCCAGATGTACCAAATGAGCTAAAGAATGATTTCTTCATTATTAAATAAATACATTAGTATTGGAAATGATGTCATTTTTTAACTAAAGAGAGGATCCTGTGCCAAGTGTGATCTTCTCAATTGCTTGTTGAAAACAGGAAATGGGGAGTTCAAAACACCCCTTCCTGGTTTTAATTAAGAATCTGGTTCTCTTTATATCAATCACAAGAGGGAATTCCATAACTCGCAGCACTGGTAACTTAAAGTATTATACTTAGCAACACATGCACAGCTACGAGGATATAGAACATCTGGACTAAAGAGAATTCATTTAGAAGGCTTCATTCCTAACCTTTGATGGCCTGAACCCAGAGATTAAGGAAATATTCTACTTTGTTTGTCTATACTTTAATACAATTTAAGAATCTTAGCTGCAATTTTTATCCCCCTTAGAGGGGAAAAAATATTTTATTACTTTAAGCTGCTAATCTACTCATTCATTTACTCACTGACCATCATGCATTGAACATCTTTAATATGCCAAAGACTGTTAGGGGCATTGAGGGATACAGATAAAATAGATTCCATTGTCTGGAGTATGAGATAAAAGCATGGTGACAATAGATAACTTAGAGTTAAGTATAAAGATCTACTCACTTCTAACAGGCACTGTTAAAAAACTGTTTATTGAAATGTTATGGCATGTTGGATAGCCCTACTATATAACTGTTCCTACAGATTTCCTTTATCCATCTATCAGATACAGAGACCTAACCCGAAAAACCCTCTAGGGTAGGATATTACCCAACAAACTTGTTTGGCCGGACTCAGTTTGGTGAGTCAATCTTAACACAGCTGCAGGAAGAATCCAGAGGCCCCAGCTGTGTGACCAATGCTCAAGGCTCTGGCACAGGCACCGTCATACTCACCCCATTGGTGCTGCCCTTCCGATTGATATCCTGCAGAACAGCCTTGTCCAGACCCAGCTTCAGGCTGGCCTTATCAAACATTTCTCGCTCATACGAGTTCCGAGTAATGAGGCGGTACACCTTCACAGCTTTGCTCTGGCCTATCCGGTGACACCGGGCCTGGGCCTGGGGAGGAAGGAGGGCCATACACGTCACGTCACCAGGTAGAATGGCAGTGGCCCAAGGAACAGGGAAATGCTTAAGTTCCATGTATTCTGAGTGGTCAGGTCTTGAAGTTATGAGTCATGGGACAGAATTCACCAAAGTGCCAGCTGCCCTTTCAAGGTCACTTGTTTCATCACCCGCTATTTATGGAGTGACCAGTGCGTGCTAGGGTAAAGTGATGAGAAGAACATGGCGTGCCCGCCCCCCTCCCCTCCTCCCCTCCAGCCTCTGATCTTAGTGGAGGCACTCATTCCCGGGATCTGGTCCTGCTCTTTTGGGAAATGCCTCAGAGCTGGCAGCACTGCTTTTTAATTTTACTACAGCAAATTCCACACACACAAAAGTAAAGTATAATAACCTCGTGTAGACAATCCTGTTTCATCTATCATGCCTCTACCTGCCAAGATCATTAGGACGCAAATCCTAGGCACCATATTGTTTCATCCTTACACATTTTAATATGTATTTCTAAAGATAAGAACTCTTGGTAAAACATATTGTCATTGCCATACTTCAAAAAATTAATACTCCATTTCTTCCAATTTCCCTGCTTATCTCATACATACTCGTTAAAGCTTGCTTGTTTGGATCAGGATCCAAGGAAAGACATTACACTGTAACTGGTTGACATGTCTCAAGTCTCTTAATCTATAGATACTCCCTGTCTTTGATCTTTTTTTTCATACGTAAATTTTTTTTTTTTTAGGAAACCGGGTATCTGTCTTATAGTTTAAGATAGTCTACATTTTGCCATCTTCATTCTGGTTGTGTCTGAGAATAAGTGCCCCTGCTCCTAGTATCTCCCCTAAAGTGGAAGTTATATCTTGAGACTTAAGCAGGCTAAGATTTCATTTTTGGCAAGTGTGTTTCATAAATAGTGCTGAATTTCCATCAAGAGGCACATGATGTCTGGTTATCTTTATTTTGATGATCACTGTCCAAAACGATTGTTTCATTAAGGATTATAATTTCCCCTGTCAAATTTTTGAATCCCCTGATGATACAGTTGATATAGGAGAGACAAGCTAAATGTTTAATTCTTTCTCTTTATTTAATTAGTTTCCAGAATAACATCCACCAAAGTACTGAGGAAGTCGGGACCGGTTTGGCTCAATGGATAGAGCGTCGGCTTGGGGACTGAAGGGTCCCAGGTTCGATTCCGGTCAAGGGCATGTACCTTGGTTGCGGGCATATCCCCAGTAGGGGGTGTGCAAGAGGCAGCTGATCGATGACTCTCTCTCATCGATGTTACTGGCTCTCTATCTCTCTCCCTTCCTCTCTGTACAAAAATCAATAAAATATATTTTTTTTTAAAAAGTGACTGAGGAAGATTTTTAATATTTTGTTTACGAAACACAATGAGATTACATTTAAATACATGTCCTATGTTTTATTGTACTGCTGTTATTATTTCTATTGCTGTTCAAAAATGTCCTGTGGCAACATTTTCAAGTTGGCTCCTGAGTTTTTTTGACATGATCCAGTCAAATATGGAAAGGAGGGAGACTATTATAGAATAAACATTGGTATTAAAATGCAGTAGGAGGTATCAGGATGAGCTCATGGTTAATATGTGTGTATGTGTGTACACATGTGCATGCATACATGCATACACATACAGATAAAGAAAGATATGGGTATATCTGTATTTATGTTTGTATGTTATATCAAAGACCAGTAGTCTCTGATAGCTCCCATGCTTTCTGGTATGACAATATGTTTCATGCTCCTATTGCATATTTCCTGCCCAGAAGCGGAGTCAGCCATTTGTTTCAAGGAGTCCTAGTTTCTTTGACAGGAAATGGTAGTTGGAGACAACAGTCTAGATGCCGTAGGGGCGCTCTCTGCTACTGGTTGTTCATTGTTTCTAGCCTATTAAATGGGAAAAAATAGAAGTGTTTGTGTGTGTACAGTATATACAGCCATTGCACATATAAGACAAAACACATCATGAGATCATAACAATATTTTAAATTCATTAACCATGTTATCCCTTCAACTATGTTTAAAAGTCAATTCTTTGGGGGCTGCTAAGGGTGATCAGGCCAGCAGGGGAGGCCAGTTGGGGGCAAGCAGGCCGTCAGTGGGGGGTCAGTTGGGGGCAATCAGGCCAGCGGGCAGGGTAGGTGGGGGTGAGCAGGTCAGTGGTGGGGGCAGTTGGGGGTGAGCAGGCTGGCAGGCTGAGTGGTTAGGGGCAATCAGGCAGGCAGGCAGGTGAGTGGTTAGAAGCCAGCAGTCCCAGATTGCAGGAGGGATGTCCACAGGGAACGGACCTAAACAGACAGTCGGACATCCCCCAAAGGGTCCTAAACTGCAGAGGGTGTAGGCCAGGCTGAGGGACAAACACCCGCTGTGCATGAATTTTGTGCACCGGGCCACTAGTCCTATTTAATAAAAGAGTAATATGCAAATTGACCATCACTCGAACACACAAGGTGGTTGCCCCTATGTGGTCAAAGATGGCTGCCTCCATGTGGACACTAGATGGCCAGCACAAGATGGCCTGCAGAGGAGGGCAGTTGGGGGGCAATCAAATCTGCAGGGGAGGGCAGTTAGGGTGACCAGGCTGGCAGGGGAGCAGTTAGGCATCAATCAGGCTGGCAGGGGAGTGGTTAGGGGCAATCAGGAAGGCAGACAGGTGAGCAGTTGGGAGCCAGCAGTCCTGGATTGTGAGAGAGACATTCCTCGAGGGGTTCCCAGACTGGAGAGGATGGGGCTGGGCTGAGGGACACCCCCCGCCTCCTGTGCATGAATTTTGTGCACTGAGCCTCTAGTATATATATAACAGTCTCAGAAAAACGGTATCATTATAATCTCACCAAAACGTAATTACTGAAAAACATGTAAGATTTTTGTTTTCATCCATTTAGGGTTATATCCTACTACATATGTATAGTCAAATCATAGTGTTTTAAATATCCACTTGCAGGTAGGTTTCTTTTTCAGAGTGGTAGGGTTAGCAGTTTCAAAACTACTTTCTGTGTAATCTAGGATTAAGCAAATTAATACATATACTGAGAATTGAAAAAGAAAGTTACAAATATGGAAAAGAGGAAAACTAGAATGACTGTGGCACAGGAATAGATTGGAGGTTATTCACATTCTGTGGATATATGTGTGTATTCATAATTAAGTTTATATGTACACTTGCTCATATACACATATAAGCTTGTTATATGTATATGCATATTTATATTCTGTGTGTGTATGCCTTCCAGCTATGTTCACTGAAAGGGTCTAGAAGCAATAGGTTCCAGTGGCAAAGAATATAACTGACTATCTGATCTTGGTTTCTAAATTCCATTGCTCATAAGACAGAACAGTCATGTTAGAGAAATGGTTAATTGGAGGGCTAGTGCAAAGTATAAGATGAGCCTAAAACATATTACTGTGCCAGAATGCAAGGAAGTACTCACACATGATGGAAATATATTAAAATAACACTCGAAACTTGAGGAGACTGCCACTGGCTAAGTCTAGGACTATTTAAACATCAAAAGAAATAAAGATAGTAATGGAATATAACCCACTGAATAAAAAAGAATCCATGAGTACATATTGACATAAATAAATGGGAGAAAAGGAAAAAATCTTTTTTTTTTTTTATAGTAGCCAACAAAATGTAGAGTGACAGAAAATCACCACCTTGTAACCATCATAATGACTGATTCAGGCAAAGATAATCAATGGAAACTAAAATCAATGTGTAAATGTTGATAAGAAATAGGAAATTTATATAGTTTCAAACTATCCAAAATTCCTTATTGATTTCAAAGGAAAAAAATATAAACTTATAGTAGAGAAATCTGGCAGATGCCACTTAACTAAGAGACCAAAGTCTATTATCAGATAAATAGACATCATATACTCCTCTTATGATCTGTTGACAAGGACATATCACTTCAGGAGTAGTATTATTAAACCTGAATCCAATCCTGAGGAGACAGAAACAGAAACTGAGGGACAGTCTATAAAATGACTGGCCTGTATTCTTCAAAAACATCAAAGTCATAAAAGGAAAAGAAATATCGATGAACTGACTCAAGTTAAACGGGGCTAGAAAGAATTGGTCTGGAATCAGAAATCTCGCTATATGGCTGGACAGAAATGGGATAAATAGAGATGTGTGGTCTGAGTATTTGTGTTAATGCGTGCACGCGCGCACACAACAATTCCTAGCTCTGTCTGCTCAGAGTGTCTAGAAGCAATAATACTCCAGTAGCAATGGGCATACCTAGTATCAAGTCTTAGTTTCTAAATGCCACCCTCAAGTAAAAGGAACAAGAGATTGATGGAGAAATGCCAATTCCATGGTTAAAGCAGGAAACATGGGGCATGAACCTGAACACCTCGTGGCAACCTGCCACACTACACAGGAGCCAACGTGAAGGACCTACATATGACCAAATCTGAACAACAAAATAAACATGAGAGTAATGAATTACAACCCATAAATTAAATATTATTTAGTCCATACTAACAAGTAAATAAATGATGGGCAAAGGTCAACTGTTCTTTATAGTAGAATTCCAATTAATATCTGCAGGAGAGACTGAAACAGAAAATTACCTTTAGCCAAACACAATAATAATAATTAATGAAGGCAAGAGCCATTGATGAATGCTAAAATACGCAAAAGTATTATGAGAAACAGGTTAAAGTCTTAGAATATGTCCTCCCAAGATATTGATTAATTTTAAAGGTAAAAAGAGTGACTTTACAGTAGAGAAACAAGGCAGATCCCATTCAACCAAGTAATCAAGATTAACATCACAAGTAATGTATTGACATCATATACCTTGTGATATGATACATAGAAAAGGTTATAACATCACTTCTATGATATTCTTATCCAAAATGCATAACTTCAAAATCTGATAAGAAAACATGAAGCAAACACAAATTGAGCCATTCTAGAAAACAGCTGATGAGTACCCTTTAGAAGTGTCAAGGTCATGAAA